TAAATGTCTATTAATGACTAACGGTCATTAACGCCGTTAGTTATTAAGATTAAATCATGATACGTGTCATGATATGATTGGTTTATTTGAAACATTTGTTTTAATTAATAAGAATATTTTTTTTCTCAATTTTCGTGACAAAAATTGCTTGGGAAAAGTTTTAGGGGTCATTTTGATCATTTATGTAAACTGTTAAATTGTGACTAGAAATCTAGTAAGGTTGACTTTGAACGCAGATATCTCTCAAAATACAAGCAATTTTGAGGTGATTCAAGTTGGAGGTGATAGCTTGGTTTAAGATCTTTCCAACAATAGGTCATATGCCCGATTCCGATAAGAAACGAGAAAGTTATGACCGTTTCACAAAACCCTGACGAAGCTGGAAATTTGCAACGAGGCTGCGAGTTATAGCTCTATGCGAGTGAGCTATAGCTCGGCCCTATGAGGACTTGCGGCAGGCATGAGCTAGCTGCCGAGCTATAGCTCGATAGTTAGGTTATTCTAGGATAATTTATGGAATATTTTCTAAAATTATATCTTTTCTATAACGACTATTTGAGTATACTTGGGGAACAATCTTAGGGTTTTCTTGTGTTATAAAAGGACCCTTTAGTTGATCATTTAGAATATACCTTTTTTGAGCCATTAGATTTAGGACTCCTTGTATTATTCTCTTGTTTCTTTCTCCATTATAGTGAAGAAGCTCTCGAATCCCCCACCCGTGGATGTAGGTCTATTTTGACCGAACCGCGTAAATCCTTGTGTTCTTTGTATATCTTCTTTATTATTTTTCTCAATACTTATTTTTCATTGATTTGTTCTGCATTAATCAAACATAGTTACACCCTTATTTTCTAACAAGTGGTATCTAGAGCCAAGGTTTTAAGGTCTTAAGGTTTAGGTGTTTATAGATTAGTTTGATTAAATTATGCCAATGAAATTTGATATTGAGAAATTCGATATGCAAATGAACTTTGGCCTATGGCAATTGAAGATGAAATCCATCTTGGTTCAAAGTGGTTGTCACAAGGCTCTTGAAAGTGTATCCAACAAGCCTTCGGGCTTGACGGTGGATACATGGGAGGAGATCGATTTGAAGACTCTTTCGGCAATTCAATTATGTCTCTCTAATGATGTTTTGAGAGAGGTTTCCAAGGAGACGACTTCTGCGGGTTTGTGGTTGAAGTTGGAGTCACTTTATATGGCAAAGAGCGTGACCAACCGTCTACTACTCAAATCTAGACTTCATGATCTTCGTCTAGAAGAAGGTAAACCGCTTAAGTCTTATTTAGATGAATTCTTCTCTATTATTGTGGATTTGCAAAACATCGATGTTGAGATCGATGATGAGGATATGGCTATTAGGTTGTTGTGTTCTTTACCGCCTACGTATAAGCAATTTCGAGATACTTTATTGTATAGTAGAGATGATTTGAGTTTGGAGGATGTTAAGGATGCCTTAACCCAGAGAGATTTAATTGACAATAAGTTGGTTAATAAATCTAATAATCCTACTCAAAATAATGCTTTAGTTGCTCATGGTGGTAATAAGAATTTTGGTAAAGGAAAAGTTTGTAACTATTGTCATGTGAAGGGTCATATCAAAGCCGAGTGTTGGAAATTAAAGAAGAAGAATGAGGAGAAGTCCAATGAGGACAAATCCGCAAATATGGCCAACAACGATGATGATTATGATTATGCACTTTAGGGTTTCGAGCTTTGGGGTTGCGGTTTCTATGATCTCTTCATGATAAGTTTCCCTTTGAGATCTCTTGGTAAAACGAGAAACCATGTGGATTTTTGGTATGGAGTCTATGATAGATTGCTTTTGATTTTCGTTTGTAATAAAGTAGCAATCTTGGTTATGAATTAGATTTTGTTCTAGTTATGCTATTTCTTATCTCAATTTTGGTACTTTTGTGATTTACCAAGTACAATTACAATTTAGAAATTCATGATGTAATTTTTTATTTTTCTAGAATTGTTTACGTTTTTTAGTTTAGTTTTTTTGAGATGAAGAAGTGTTTGAAGAGAGTTTGGTCAATTTTGATAAGCATGCTTGGCGTCGGAACATTATACTCTCAATCTAGGCCATGTGATGGTTTTGTGTACGGAATTTTGTATTCGGAGACGCACCGGTTCATAAGTTATGGAAGATGTCCGTTTGGTAATAGCCTAAAGTGAGTAGGCTTATGGAGTTTTGTTTAAGGTGGAGGTTTTATGTTTTATTATGAGCATTACTTCTTGTTTTTTGGTTCAAGGTGGAGTTACCTTGTTTTTAGTCGATTTCAAGTCAAGGTGGAGATTGTTAAATTGTGAATCGAAATCTAGTAGGGTTGACTTTGAACGCAGATATCTCTCAAACTACAAGCGATTTGGAGGTGATTCAAGTTGGAGGTGATAGCTTGGTTCAAGAGCTTTCCAACGATAGGTCATGTGCCCGATTCCGATAAGAAACGAGAAAGTTATGACCGTTTTACGAAAACCTGACGAAGCTGGAAATTTGCAACGAGGCTGCGAGCTATAGCTCTATGCGAGTGAGCTATAGCTCGGCCCTATGAGGACTTGCGGCAGGCATGAGCTAGCTGCCGAGCTATAGCTCGATAGTTAGGTTATTCTAGGATAATTTATGGAATATTTTCTAAAATTATATCTTTTCTATAACGACTATTTGAGTATACTTGGGGAACAATCTTAGGGTTTTCTTGTGTTATAAAAGGACCCTTTAGTTGATCATTTAGAATATACCTTTTTTGAGCAATTAGATTTAGGACTCCTTGTATTATTCTCTTGTTTCTTTCTCCATTATAGTGAAGAAGCTCTCGAATCCCCCACCCGTGGATGTAGGTCTATTTTGACCGAACCACGTAAATCCTTGTGTTCTTTTTATATCTTCTTTATTGTTTTTCTCAATTCTTATTTTTCATTGATTTGTTCCGCATTAATCAAACACAATTACACCCTTATTTCCTAACATAAACAAATTAAGCTTAGAAGTGGGAAAAAAAATGTAAATACCCTTTTTGTGTGTTGAAAATATGTCAATTAGCGTGCCGTTATTTTTTAACCATGAAAGTTAATCGTGTAAGGTTTTAGGAGTCATTTTGAAACTTTATGGATACAAATTAAGCCCGAAATTGGATTTTAAAAAAAAAAAAAAAAAAACGGATATGCGCCATTTTGTATATCGAGATCGTAATATTTTTTTCGAAAAATTGCAAAACGCGGAATTTACGTTAATTTTTTGCTAGTTTCGAGCTTAATTTGAAACCATAAAGATTCAAAATGACCCCCAAAACCTTACCCAATCAATTTTCATGGTTAAAAAAAATAATAATTCGAGATTTTTTTGCCACACAAAACGGAACATTAATGTCCTTAACTTCAGAGCAAAAACTTATTTGTTTTTCAAAAATGCCATTTATACATTAAAATTCAACCTACTCATTTTATATACGAAGTATGTATCATTACAACATATAGGTCAATAATATAGCAATCTCAAAGCATATGACACGAACATTCTCTTTTTTGCCGATACATGAGCAAAACATTTCAAGCATACACATCATGTGAAAAAACAAGGCATGTAGCTGTGTGCTTGTGTAGTTGTGTGTACAACTTTTATAAGGAGTCGTATGCCATATAACGAATCCTTATTCCTTTGGATGACTAGGTTGTCTTATCACTCAACGTACCTCCTCTATGTAGTCCTCCATGCATTTTCAGTTTGAGCTATGTTTTTCATCATCTAGCAACCCACCTCTCTAGTCAAGTAATTTTTACTTCGTAATTTATTTTTTTGAAAAGGTCCCAGTCAAGTAATTAGTCTAGAAAAAAATAGCTGTTTTTCTTCAGCAGATCAAGTGATTAATAGCTTTCTGTAAGTTTCAACTGAGAAAAATATTGAATTCTCAATACATTGCGGAGCAAGAGGAATCAGATTGCTTAACCACAGAAAGTATAATAAATATTTTACAACATCATCATAATTTGATACATTCTGAATTATCTTAAAAGGATTGAAGTAACACAAGATATCAAAACATCCACCGGTAAAGAGGGTTTTATAAAACTATTCATATTTGACACACAAAAGAAAGAGATGAACCCTATTTCGCTGTATTTGGGGTTACCTTTAGATGGATTAAAGTAAAGGAAGGATACAAAAAAAAAAAAAAAAAAAAAAAAAAAAAAAAAAAAAAAAGGTACTGTGCAGACTCTCTCAAAGATACTGATATTCTTCTATATTTAATAGTTATATTTTATCAGGAAAGAAAACAGGGAAACTAAATAAAGGAGCTTCAACCTAACCATCCTGAAGTACGATTTACATTAGCATAGAGACAGTAACAAACAAGAGCAAAGAACACAATAAAACCCAAGGTTCCCACCTGAGCCAAAACCTAGTTCAAATTACACTTTGCAAAAGTGCCAAAAGGGGAGAGGGGCAGAGATGTTCAGTTTGTACATTGAGTTTGACCATACAAGGTCTTAAAGGAACAACTTTGCTTGTCAAGGAAAATTAGTTTCTTCTTGAAAGCACTTCTCTTCATCCAACCCCCCCCCCCCCCCCTCTTTCTTTCGTAAAAAAAATGAAAAAGGGGTCATTGATTACGAAGGTTATGTCTTATAATATTTATCCATCATCCTTAGGACAAAGAGACGAAGCAAAAAACAAAGAATAAGAATATTTATGGAAGGTAAAGGTTTCTAAGGCTTCTGGAAGCATCAAAGTTTAATGCATAAACAGAAATCAAATTAACCAATTATCCTGCCAACAATCAGTTTCATTTTGCACCAAACTTTTTCAATCAACATCACAAAGTATCAAACTCAATCTAGTTGTTAATTATATTAAGTCCATCAGGGAAGTGCATATCAATTTCTATGTACATTTTATAATCGTAAATAAAGAACCAACCTGGGAGATAATTCAAATGGAAAAAGTATAAAGGGCTTAAGGGAATTTTGTAAAGTGCAAAAATCCTTCATCAACATGACCAAAATTCATCAATCTTGAATTTTCTAAGAGGTTGGCCCTAGCTAACAAGATTAAGCATACACAGAAGGACAAGAATATTGGTAGATTCATTAAAATATATTAAGATATAACATACTAAGTACTCTTCTAAAAAAATAATAATAATAAAATAAAAATAAATAAAAAATAAATAAAAACCAAACCATGTGTTTAAAAGTTTCCTGAACAAAGCAAAGTAGCGATGGAAAGGCATGAATTACGATTGCACCTGAGCTTACAACTTAATTGCTGATTAAGTGCAGGAAGAGAATCTAAGCCTTGGTGAATATCGTGTGGGTTGGTTCTTGGAAGAAATTGACTTTTTTTGAGATCGCATATCAACATCATTATTAAGTTCAGCTGCAACAGAAGATCAAAAATTAGGTCTATAGTTACAAATTTTACAATACTTGATAAAACAAATATCATTGCAAAGTATAAAATCTGTCACTGAATCTGAGTGCATAAGAGTTCCACCGTGGTCAGAAAAGAACTGGATGTTTTCCTCCAAGAAAACAAAATAATGTTACCCTCATGTTATAAATAAAAGCCTTCACTCCCTATCTAATTTATAAAGACCAAGTGTATTTTAGAGTTCACGAACAGGTTATACTTCTTTTTCAGTGGATGATTATGCAGGACATGAAATAACAATCAGACTAAGCTATACACAGAAGTGGATATTTTCAGTACTATACTTCCACCAATGAAGGATTCTTCTTTTCTCAATACTGTTGAGATTTGGAAGCTATATTGTAAAAAATTGCTAGCTGTCTTGCAGAGATAGATACATTACTAATTAAGTGACAAATTTTCATAGATTACAAAACATCATAAGGATTTGTTACGTTACCCAGAACATTCTATCAAGAAGTTAACATGAAGATTTATATAAGAAAATGAACAATGGTATATAGTGTATAAGTAAACCATTATCAAAGGATTTTATATTGGCAAGCAAATGTACAAGTCACACAACCTAAAACCAGATCATTAAAATCTTAAGGAGACATAATTACATCCATACCAGGTGGGTTAGACCAGGGCAAATAGACATAGACACAAAGGACAAACTTTAACCAGATATAAAACTAAATCACTTCTCTTATGAGGTGTTTGTTTGAATTTCATAGGATGGTAAGCAAAAGGCTAATTCCTGAAAAGAAAATTGATAAATAGATATCAGCTCTACCAGCTGTAAAGTTTGAGCTCTATCATTCATTGGAAAATTGATAATAAGCTTTATGTAAGTTAATGACCATGAGGAAATACAGAACCAGTATAAAGAGACAACAAAATAAAGAAAAGAAGACAATTGATAGAGTAGAAGCAAGAACCTGCTGTCTTTTGTCTCTTCTCAACAGAGTTTGACCCCTTCTGCTTCTTATTACTTTCTGCTGATTTCAACTCAGCATTGATCAGTGGAAAGGTCCTTTTCTGTGTTGATATCATAGCTTCAGAACCAACATTAGAATGATCTGTATGAACACTTTCACTTTCATGTTTATCTTGCAATGGTTCTTCGGCGCAGTCATCTAAAACTCCAGAGTGTCCAGTCCCTGCACGAGCTGTTGAACGAGTTACTCGAATTGTACTGCTTAAGATGGTACCCTTTGCCCCTTCATCAAGGGTTCTGTTTCTATTTCTCACACCTAAAATCTCTGTCTCTTTTTTTACTGCAGAACAAATTGACCGGGTTGATCTTATCTTCCTGTCCTGCAAATCTTCAGTATCCTTCTTAGCCATATTTCCTTTCTCTTTATGAGCCGTAGAGCGAGTCACACGAACAAATGTTGCATCTTTAGCTGATGTGGTTCCATTATCTTCATCTGTATTTGCACTTTCTCTGTTCATTGCTGAACGAGTTAATCTCCTTGCAACCACAGGAACGGCGGATTCCTCTCTCATTAAGGATGATGAACTGCCATCTGAGTCAATAGAGGGTTCAATTTTATTAGACCTCTCTATAGGCAATCCATTTGACAATTTTGCATGAAGCATCTTGTCTGAAAACCTTGTTTCATTTGTCACAAGTGTTTCCCTCTTGTTTATAATAAAAGTATCAGAGTCCCTAGAATTGTACACACAAGAGGAAAAATCTAACACAGAGTCACATTTTCTTTCTTCATGAAGAACAGATTCAATCTTTTGGGGAAGTTTTGATACTAATGAGGCCAGAACTGCACGAGCAGCAAGAGGACTGAGAGGAGACTGATTTTGTACAGATTTCTCATGAGATGATGGTGCAGAAGTTATAAGATTGTCAATTGTTGATTGTGTTATATCTTGTCTTCTTGCGGATCTTAATTGTCTCCTTCCACAACTTACTTGAACACATTTATTCTCTCGTTGTGAAACAACCAGTTTGGTACGACCATTGCTTTCACCTAGAAATCAGAAAACAGAATGTTAATTTCACAAGTAAAAACTATATCGCTTTAGCACATCTTAGGGCCTATTCTCTTCAGCTTATTTTCAGTTCAACTCAGTTTAGTAAATCAGAATAGGCCCATATTCAAATGTGAAACCAAATAAAATTGTTGACAACATATCGGGGTAACCATGTGGATTTTACAACTAAACATCGAAATTTCTATATCACATATGAAATTTTTACCAAAGCCTCTAAGGAACAGTAAAAATCACCTGTACGGACAAACTAGAGGTAATTACTAAAAAAAAAATTAATTCTAGAGCTCAATTGGTCAAGAAGTCACCCCCAAAAGATAAATACCAATATTTAGATGCATCAAATCTAAATTTGCACTCAGAACCATATGTAAGGTTATAGTGTGATTGCTATTATGAAGTGTCTTTTGAGGTCTTACTGTGGCCATTAAGATATTCATAAGCTCGATGAAGTGAAAACATAAGTTGGAGCATCTAAGTCATAAGTGAAGTGAATTTGGATATTGAGTTAGGGTTCAGGATTATTGTTTCTTGTAGTCAAAGCTTATAGCTTAGGTTGTATGGAGTTATGGACTATTTAAAGGCAAATGCTAGATTGTGATGGACTCCGGTGATCCGGTCAGCCTATGTGAGTCTACACTAGGAGGGTCAAACAAGGGCATCAACTAGGAGGGTCAAACAAAGGGGAGCAATTCCAATTAACTAGAAGACAAGTTTAATTAAGAAGAAGAGAGGAAGGAAAGCAAGCAACTTTAAGTATGTTCTAATATGGTTTTTCCATTTCCGTTAATGTAATCACATGTAAACCTTAAGGTCATCCTTGACCATTAGTATAAGTAATATAGTATGTGAAATGAGGAGGGTATTCAGAAAATTATGAGGAAACACTTGGAGAGTAGCAACCTAAAGTTGCTTGGAGATTGGCAGCCTAAAGTTGCTACTTGTATCCGCCCATTGTCCTGTTAATGAAGAAGCAGTCCTTCTCTATGTTTGAGTGCGTTAAATTGTGCTTGCATTACATTGAATTAGCTAGTCTATAACATAGATATAGTCTTCAAATGGACAAGGAGATGCTTAGTCATTCCCTCAATAAGACATAAGTAGGAACACTAGTCCATATCTAAGGAAATTTAAGTTTAAAATTAATGATGTCAACTAGTGTGCGGTCCGGGCATTGCACCGGGTTACCACTTTGATTAAATTGTTTCTTTATGAAATATATTATCATCTATTATGTATATATGTTATGCATAAATGTTAAAACATAATGTTACTAATTAACAAAGAGTATAGAAAACAATTTTTAATACTTCATTGTTTGAGAAATGTTGAATTTATTCCTATTCATTTTTTTTTCAAACTGTTTATCTCGTTTTTCTTTTAATTGGTGTGTGTCATTTATAGTTATATTTATTTGTATAGATAACATGAATTATTATTAGCTAAGATGGTAATGAGCTAGATCTTGTATTCTCAAGGTCTAGTGTTCAAAACCCATCAAATGCTTATTAATATTAATCTATCAATAATAGTTTGAATGATTTGTTAATTGGTAATGACATGTCATTAAGTCTTATACTACCTCCGTTTTTTATTATTTGCAACACAATTGGGAAATATAAGTGAAGCTAAGAGACTCCTACAGTCCAATGAAACCAGTATATCAGATTGGGCCTACATGCACATCTTTAGTGAAATTTTCAATGGGCCATACTTGTTCATTATGCTACTCCCTGCATCCTTTTTTTTTTTTTTTTGAATAGCTACTCCCTGCATCCTTAAATAATAAGTCTCATTTACCTTTTGCACACTTTTATAGGGAGGTGAAAAAAAAAAGTTGGGGTATTATTTAAAAATAAATATAAAAAAGAGGATGGTGGGGTTTGGTTGATCAAGAGTGAATGAAAAAAGAAAAGAAAAGAAAATAGTGAGGCTTGGTTAATTAAAGTGAATAAAGTATAGATAAAGGTAAAATGAGATTTTTGTACCAAGATAAGGTTTCTGGGAGGAATGAGACTTTCATTTGGAGATGGAGGGAGTATTATCTCTGTAGCTCATGAAAAACGAGATGCAAAACAAATTATAAATTGCAAAAGTTGCATTACATACCTCCATAGCGTCTACCCCTGACATATGGCAGGTTCAATCTTGGCATATTCTTACCAAAACTATTCTGCATGAAGCCTAAGTGGCTACGCCGATATCTGAAGATCATATGCATCACTCTTATAACACTGACCCTCATCTCCCTCCCACACCCCGAAAAAATAGAGTAATGTTTGACATCCAAGTTGAATATTACTATAAAGAAAGGGAAGAGACTATCTATTGGAGGCTAAGAGTAGGATTACAAGGGAGAAATATGAAGGAACGAAAAGAAAGAGAAGAAACTATCTACTGGAGGCTAAGAGTAGAACCAAGGGAGATATATGAAGCAAGGAAACATGACTAAGATAAGTTACAGCAGTCATACCATCAGTCATGCTGCCAATTCCTTCAATATGCTTCAATAACCCATGAAAATCAAATTCGCTTTCAGTATCTTCAAAAGTTGAAGGGGATGCTGATGAAGTAGATAAATGGGATTTTTCCTCTGTAGAGTTTAAGAAAGCAGCAACAACTGGATGAGAATCAATGCTTTCTGTAGCTAAGTTCATGATGGAGCTAGATGGAATACTTGAAACTCCATTTTCAGTATGTTCAGAAAGCCATTTAATCATGAAAGTGCATCTGCAAGAAGCCCTTTTGGAATGTCTCACTCTTATTGCCTGCCAAGAAGAGAAAGAAAGAAAATAATAAATTTGGAAGTGAAACAGCAGAACGGTATCATTAATCCAAATCTAAATGGAACTCATCACACCAAGGAAAAAAAATAAAATAAGAATCTATATGATATATTAAAAGCAACTCTAGACCACGATGAATTACATCAGAAGTATTACCTTATTAGCTATCTATATACTTTCATAATCATCTCAAATATAAATAATTTGAAATGGAGTGTTAAATTATAACTTTTTTTAAACTATAATCATAAATGTTTGATAATACTCATCCAGTTAATGAGTACTTGAATCATAACTAGCAAGATATGGTCATTGATAGATAAAAAATTCCTAAAAGGATATAGAACAATATTACACAAAATCATACAATTCACAAGCTAAAGTATTCAAAGGCTTTACAAATAACTATGAATAAGTAAAGGATGAATCAACCTACCATAAAGTGTTAAAAGTAACAATCCAAAGCATCACCCGGGCCACACACGAGTTATTGAACTTATAGATGTACAATAGTACAGCTGTAGTTTGGTTATCAATTGTTATTTCATTAGGAAAGTAGATATAATAGGAGATAATAGGCCATTTATTATTGAAAAATAATGGTGATACACTATAGCAGGGTATTTTATTTTATTTTTTGAATGCGAAAGAGAGAAGAGCCCTAACATTTTGGTAGTGGAAAGTGATATGTATAATAACACGGTCTTTTCCAAAATAGTAGTGTGAGAACTAATTTGAGATGGATGAAAATGAAAAGTGTAAGAACAGATTTGACTAGCAAGAGCAGTTTTAACAGCCTGCTCCAAAACAGCATAACATAAACAATAAAATAGTGTAATGGTTGCCAGAGCCACAGCCACACTATAATCTTTCGTAATTTTCTCAAAGCCACAAATATAATCTCTTAGTTCCCACCAAATACAAAACAAAAAATGTTTGCATCCAAGTCAAGAAAGCTCTTCCAATGCTATTGATAAGTTTTTCCAAAAGGAATTGTCATAAAGCAACCTATGTTCTAACTCCTAAGTATCTTTTGCATTATGAAAGATCCCTAGTAAGCTTTCTAATACAGCATGAAGCATAAGAGATGTCTTGTTCTATCATATCTCAAGCTAAAGAAGTAAGCTCAACTACCCTTGATTACAACAGGGGTAACCAGCATTTCTGACAAGGCCACACCACACCTGCACACATGCTATTCCTACCACAATAATAATATAAAAAAAAAATTCATTTAAAAAAAATCTTGGAAAATAGATTTACCTTTTGCACTACTGCATCAAAAAAGAGCCTCTGGTAGTTTCTCTCACAAGCAGCAACAACATGTCTCCCTTCCTCAATACAACAACAATCATCCCCCTGCACGGGAATTGAACGTACACGAAGACAAACTCGTGCATCTTCTACGTCTAATATCACATCTTCTGAAACTTGACCTTCATATTTCACAGAAAGTCCTCCACCAGAGCTATTTGACAATTGATTGGAACAAAGTCATTTAAGCAAAGAAATGTAATAATTAATACAAAGTTATATGTATCTCAAATAAAGACACAAGAATTGATGTGATAAGAACAAGGTTAAAACAATGCCTATGAGTAGATCTGATCTTTAAATTATTTGAACAAACATAAAATTAATATTATAACAACTAATACTACGTAAATACTTTGATGGGTGATTCTAAGAGACTATATAGAAAGTTCTAACTTCTAAGGAACTCCGGTAAACCATTTAACCCCTATAAAATATCAGTCAAGTGAGTAACAACTTCCTAATCCTATGGCCACATTTCATGTTACTAACCACCTCCTAACATTTTCAACAACATATAGTGCCTTTAAAAATTCTCAACCTTCAAAAATCATTGTCGTCCATGACATCATAACAGTACATACTAGATACTACTATCCAACATGAAAGGCTTCTACCTATTCTTCAATTAGATTGGCTAATCGCCATTTCAAAACTTGCCACAAGTTCAGCTAGCATGCATGTTACCTATTTTAGATTTTTTTTTTTTCCAATTCAGAATCAATCCAGATTCATCCAAAACCTCCTTTCCTTTGATAACAAAGCTAAATTCATAATCAAAATTGATATTTAAAATAATTTTGAAAAACAATTACAAAGTTATAAATAACATAATCAGGCTTATCAACTCCATATGCATGATTACACAATAATCAAATTTCAAATTAAGTAATAAATTACATCTAAATTTATATAAAATCAATTCTAAAAGTTCATCAATCGAATTTCAAAAAACTACAATTAGTAATTATCAAAATTCAAAACAACAACACAAAGATATAGCAACTGTCAATTGATCCTTTAAATCCCTAATTGTGAATTTACAAACATCGAAATGTTGCATTTAAGAAACAAAAATTGCAATTGATCTTGAAGATAATAATAAAAACAGCAGCAGCAGCAGCAACAACAACAACAACAAAAATGGTAGCAGTGAAAGTGAGAAGAGATTACCAGAGTGAGACTTGACAAGGATGCCAAGAGCCGTCAATTTTACGCTTAACTTCAAGCTGAACTTGAGAAGTATCTGCAATGGTAGCATCCGCCATTGATGAAGCTTTAATGGAAGCTAATTATACATGGAGTTTTGGAAGCTTCCACAATTTCAGATGTTGATGAAGAAGATGAAGTGTTTATATTCAGAATTAAGCATTGTAAGAAAAATTAATTTCCAGTAAAATGATACCTTCTATGAAAGTACGAAGTAATTAATTGAGTGAAAGAAGACAGGTGAAAGTCGAGGAAACTGATACGGAATAGTATAAAAATTAAAAAATAAAAATAAAATCTTTCAATTATGGTTAAATTATAATTAATATAAGTATTGTTGCATAATTATAATAACTTGCGGGGATAGCTCAGTTGGGAGAGCGTCAGACTGAAGATCTGAAGGTCGCGTGTTCGATCCACGCTCACCGCAATTTTTTTTCTTTTTTACACTTCATGTTAAATACTTCAATATTAATATCCAAGTCTTGAAATACTTGATTTTTCAAATATCCTTTATTTTACTATTGTTCCCTACATTATTTATAACCAATTATAATATATTATTTTAATTCACTATACTTCAATATTGTTGAAAGTTGAAAAAACTTCGATTTTCTAATGTTACCACCAGTCCACCATTATTTATAACCAATTTTATTAATATAATATATATACATATGAAAATAATGCAAGTAAGATTTTCTCAAGTTTGTTTTGATTTTTATTTTCAATAAATCATCTTTATACAATTATACTTCCTATAATTTTACTCACACGTAATTAAGCTATTAAAGATTGAATAAATATATATGCATTGACACATACTAATAAGTTAATGGAAAAATTGACAAAATTAATCCCAACTTTCACCGATTCGCTCAAAATAATCCCAACTTTGGATTATTTTTAAATAATCCGAACTTTGGGGGGTATTCGCTCAAAATGATCCCAACCGGTTACCTAACTTGCTATAACAGGTTAGGTGACATGTGTCACCACGTCATTGATTGAAAAAATAAATTAAATTTTAAAAAAAAAACAAAGCAGCTTTCCCAATTCCCACCCACAAACCACCCTCCCCACCACCACCAACAACCCACGACCAGCAGTACTACTCCCACCGGCACAGACTAGATCGGCAGCCACCTTCGATCTGCCATATCTCTTCCCCCGCGCCGGCACCGCCCTCCCCTGCCCCCATTCCCCCGAAAACACCAACCCCTAACAACCGAAATCTCTAAAAACTCCCTCCTCCACCGCGTTAAACGCCCAAAACCACTTCTCCCACCCTCGGAACCCTAGCTCCCAGAGTTTCGAGGGTGGGGGAGGGCCAATTGTGGTGTTTTGGGGTGAGGCTGGGCATTTTTAAGTGTTTGAGGTTGTTGATAAATGGTGGTTTGGGGTTTTGTGAATTTAGGGGGTAAGAGAGGCGGCAGAGCCGGCACCGGCCCAGGGGAGGGGACGCTGAGAGCAGCGTTTTGGGGTGGATGAGGTACCTGGGTTAGGCGGCAAGAGAAGGCTGCCGGTGGTGGTGGGGGTTGTCATGGGTTGGGGCTGATTTTTTGTTTTTTAATTTTTAGTTTTCATTTTTTTTTTCTTGTTTTTATTTTTATTATTTTGGAAAAATTACTTTAAATAATCCAACCTTTGCTCCATTCTCCCAAAATAAACCGACCTTTGGATTATTCCAGAATAATCCAACCTTTATACCCCTTCTTCCTAAAATGAACCAAAGTGACCGATCACCTAAACAACCGGTCATCTCTTTCTCTCTTCTTCCTCCCACCATTTGCCATCATCTTCATCCATTACCACCACCCAAAGCTCCTCATGCTGCCCCTCTTATCCATCACCTCCATGCCACGGTGCCCCCACACACCAACCCCCTCACAGCTTCCCCTGCCATCACCGCCCAACCCACACATCAACTCCCCTGCTCCACCTCCAAACAACAGCAGCACACATTGCAACAACACAATAGCAGCACCATCCTCACATTGAAACCACCTAGAAGCAGCACTACCTTACAAAAATTGCAGCAGCCCTTCTCACAAACGAAATCCAACCAAACAGCACCAACAACAGCCCCTCAAATCGTCATGCAACACCTCACATCAACCAACGCATCATACTCCTCCGATCGCACTCCTCCAGACCACCACCAATCTGCCATTAATTAGCTTCTCCTTACTTCACCACACCAACAATAACAACCCACCACCAATTCACAGCAAATTCAACCTCAATTGTTGATAGCCATTTTCCAATTATTAATTTATGTTTTGAAGGGAGGGTTGGTTGGGATTTCCATTGTGGGTGGGAATTGGAATTACGGTAGAGAAGGTTGGGGTTTGAACCGCCGGCTAAGGAGGGTGGATTTGCGGGTAGTTTTGGGGGAAGGGGGGTGTTTTCCAGTGGGCAAGAAGCGTTAGGGGGCTAAGGGGGTACGGTGGACTATGGTGGTGATGGGGAAGAGAGAGAAAGAAGGTGATGGGTGGTTTTTTTTTTTTTTTTTTTTTTACAACTCAAAGTAAAAAAAAGTAAATTTAAAAAAAAAACAAAAAACCAATCATGAAGTGCCACGTAGCACGTATTACCAATTGTACCGGATAGGTGACCTGCAAGGTGTGATATGGGAAGATGGGGATAAAAGGTTGGATTATTCTGGAATAATCCAAAGGTTGGTTTATTTTGGGAGAATGGAGCAAAGGTTGGATGATTTAAAGTAATTTTTCCTATTATTTTTATTTTCAACGAATCACGTGATGACAAGTGTTACTTAAATAAAAAAAAAAGAATATATTACCTCTTTTACAGGTTACCGGTCACTTGGGATCATTTTGAGCGAATACCCTCCAAAGTTTGGATTATTAAAAAATAATCCAAAGTTGGGATTATTTCGAGTGAATCGGCGAAAGTTGGGATTATTTTCATAAATTTTTCCTAAGTTAATAGGGTAAGGAAAACAAACCTAATCCCTGTAAACCAATGAATATTAATATGTAGTATATTGCATGGGTCAAAAACTAATAGCAGTATAGTACAATTATAATATGAAATTTAAATACAACCTTAATGAATATTTTTACTACACACGTTGTTGTCAATTAGTATAATATAATCCAAGCTTAGCTTGGTCTAGTGAGAAATATTGCACTTTTTAACCCTGAATTAGGGGTTCAATCCCCACTAGAAACATTTTAAGGGTATGGATCTCTTTCCCTACATACTCCCTCACTTTAAAGTGTCTAATTAGCAACTACTGAACCTAAATATTGTGAGAAACAAGGAGGAGGTTTCATTGGGTTCAATCCCCACTAGAAACATTTTAAGGGTATTTCACCTTACTTAGAAAAAATAATAAAGTATATAAATTGGTGTATGTAATATAAAATTCAATTGATCTAATGCCAAATTTGATCAAATAATTAGGATTGATGGAGGTGTATTCAGATATGAAAACAGGCCCATTTCTGAGATTTTGGTGGCCTAAGGGCGGATAGAAAAAATTGGAGTCCAGACTGACTAACAATTGAATTTATTAAAGGAAAAAATTGAGTATGAAAAAAAATACTGTTATAAAATAAAGAGAATAAGAGTGAAATTGGGAAGAGAATTGATTTGTATCTTTTATTCCATATGATAAGGTATATATATACATACAATATGATTAGGGTTTGGATGGATAAGAATATAAACCCTAGATCTAGATTGTTCCACAATGATACAAAGGAGGATAATGGATATTCACAAATATTTCATAACACTCCCCCTTGGATGTCCATTATCGAAGACTGTGTCTCATTAAAACCTTATTAGGAAAAACCCTGAGTGATAAAAACCTAATGAAGGAAAAAGAGTACAACAATACGCTCGAAATGCTGCCTCGTTAAAAACCTTTCCAGGAAAACCCAATATGGGACAAAAACCATGGTTAAGGGAAAAAGAGTGCAGCGCATAATTTCTCCCCCTGATGAATACATAACTTGAGGTCTTTTAATGCAATGAATCCAATGTAGTTGAGAGTCTTCTCACATAACGCAGAATAGTATCATCCCTTGATTTTCGATCCTCCCAAATCTTTAAATCTTTACGCGAACAAGAGAGTCTTCATATCACCAAACCTATAACAATAATACATGTGTTTGTCCATATTGCATTCGAAATCTCTGTTTAAAGTTGCCTTAACCATTATACTTTATGCCTTCTTCTGGAGGCCGTGAATAATAGAAATTGATGATCATTATTTGATCAAACATTTCTTAATAATTATATGGCAACACATGATATTATTAATGTTTTTAATCTTAATAATATAACACATGTAATTATATATATTGATCATGGTTCATCTGGACCATAATAAAACAATCTCAAGCATAAGTATCCCGTTAATATTCTGAAGAATTTTCATAATTGACATGATAGTTCTCTTGCAAATACAAATAGTAATTTTCACTAGCTTTCATATGCTCAATCTTCAGGTTGAGATGTCAATAGTCACATTGACTTTATCAAGAGTTTGATAATAATTGAATTGCAATATTCAAGATATAAACTTTGTAGGGTTGAACATTTAAATACGTCGTACATAAGTTCTTCAGGAACTCTTCTTACATGATTCATAACATGCTATTTCAATCGACGTCATCAATATTTTCATCACAAGTATAAGCCCATTGGAACATAAGTATTTCTTTCTAATTTTCCATCAAAGTTGTAAATATGTCTTAATATACTTTGAATGAACATTGACATACAATTATTATATAAAAATTAAAGCATGCAATATGATATATAAAAATATGATAAACAAATTATACAATGAGTAATGCATTTACAACTTCGAACATATGCAATGAATAATCCAATAACCTAAGACTCACACATGCATATGAACATAAATAAGACTCAAAATAATGCAAGACACTGTACAGTGTGGATTTTAAAAATCCATATTTCTTTGGACTTCTGGTCCATGATAAACTTTTATAATTATCTTCATGTCGACATTAAAATGGACATATATTCAAGATCCCTTATTCACTAGTCCATTATACCATGCATATGCATTATTTATCGGTTCCATCATATACTGGTATCATCATATAATTCCTCAAGGTACAATTTTAATTTGCATGCTATTTTGACAATGATATCTGAATACATTTTTCATTGGTACCATCATAATTTTTCTTACATCATAGGCCATCTATTATAATAATTCAGATATCTATACCACTTTTAGGGTATTTCATTCACTATGGTATTTATATACTATTACACTATTAGTGTTAACTGCACTATCTTTCCAAATATCATATCTATTAAACATATCTTTATTTTGGAACCGATCATATACAATCTACACTTCAGGTGTAGTGATTCAAGTACAATTGGCAAGATTTTATCTCAATGTATACACATAATTAATATGACCAAAATGTATCTTCAACGCTATGCAACATGAGTCATAACTGAATACAAATAAAATCATAAATGTGCAACATATCTTGATAATATATATACAAAAGTTAGCATATATATAACTTTTCAAACTACCATTATAGGGATCATAAATGTTCTTTATTTATTTAATTTTTTCAACTTTTGCTAATTCGTTCTTCTCCCCCTAAGTTGGTAAAATATCTCATTTATAGGGGCGTCTTATTATATACCAACTTAGTAGATAAATTTGCATTAATAAAATTCACTTCATTAGGAAAATCACAATCAAAATTTATTTCTCAGAAGATTTGTATTAAACAAGCTTTTATCTCTTCTAGAGAGCAATTTTTAAATCATATCTTTATTAACTATACATTGCATAGCACATATGTATTTATTTATAAATCTTTCATAATTTGAGATCAATAATTCAACATCAATGGGGAGACATATGTTGTGCAGTTGGATTTCCTTCTTTTCTATTTCTTATGTGCTGACATACAATAGCCCCCAATCAATAGAAATGTTATACAAGCATATATCACTTGCTTGTAATTCTACTAGGTGGTGATCTTTTGGATCTTTAAAGACTTAAATAGTGTATTTGATGAACTTCTGGTCACATAATAGTTGACAATAATATATACGTTATTTTGATTAACTTCTGGTCACCCATTACTCTTTTATATAAGAAATCAAAACTTATTAACCCTTGAAATTCTCATATATACAAATTATTATAAATCACAATCCAAATATAGCTCAATCTCAATGTTATGTCTTGTCATTCAATTCATTTCATATATTTAACACTGAGAGAGCGTCATCACATTATCAAATGAAACTTCAGGTTTCCATAACGGGTAATTATTCAACCCGGATGGCCTAATTTAATTATCACATCCAATCACTTCTCTAAATTAAACTCTGGTCAGATTTTCAACACTAGTGATCACTTTATTATTAATCTTACGTTATGCATGGCCATGAATTTGATGTGATATTTGAACATCAACATGTGTTTCTTTATACAATTGGCAAGACGATCAACAAATATTTTATCCAATAATTTACTCATACTCTGCTGGAGTTTTGACTATAATCTTGATACATGTTAATCTTGTTGAATATTTCATACTCTTCTGGAGTCTTTTATATAATCATGAAACATATAAATTTCACTAAAATTGATTTCTTCTAGAAATGTAATGGGATTTATCATTTCCTCAAATTTATCATTGTCAATAGTTGCTCCATTCCTTTTCTGAAGGTTGTTATATTTTAACTCTATTGGAGTACAATGCTTCAGATGTGCTTTAGGTTCATTAGTAACCGATGTTGTCCTTCTGGGACAATAATTTTAATCAGAGCATTTATAATTAGTATGTGATCAATGACATTTATATCCATCTTCAAGATGGTATCATTTCAAAATATTTAAATAACGAACATGTGGCCACTTCTATTAAGTAAATCGTTAATATTTAAGTTAATGTATGAACCAAACTGACCATCAATATATTATATTATTTATGTACAAGGATAAAATAATGGAATAATTAATACAGTCTCCCTCTAATCCTTGCACATAGGACATGAAATGAATCCAACAACATTTAAATCTCATCCACAAGGCATAAATTCTTGTAGCAATACATGTATCAAGCATAATAAAGTTAAACTTGTTCTTACTCGTGATTCTTGCCCAATTATATTAATTTCTTATAAATATGGGCATAATAAATATGTTTTTACAAGTAAGCTTCCCACAATGTCATCTATCTCTTGCTCAAATAAATATTGTGCAATCATGTTTAATTTGCAGATCGTATAATTTTGCATGAATTATATTCATTACAAAAATATGCATTTATCATCTTAATCATATAATTATTTCTCATTTATTTTAGGGAGTGAGTATATCTAGTAATATATGATTTACCAATTCACACCCACCCAGGGTTCGGTGTCGTCTAGAATACTATTCAAAGTCTAGCCTTTTATATATTCTTTCTCATGGCGTCAATGAAAGAATAAACTTATAATAATAGTCTTGCTCATATGTAATAAATATTAATCGTGCTCATATGTATAGACTCGCGATCTCATCTCATTTATAAAATCAAACTAAATGAATGTATGAGCATCAAACAAATTAAGATGATAACATTTAAATAACAATTATTAGTCACTCCAAATATATCGGTCCAAACGAGAAAGTTAAACAAGTTTCATGCATGTCCTATATTTTGCAAAATTGCAACAAATATCTTTATCTGTACTTGGATATAATGTGAATTATTAAAAGGTATTTCTAATACAAGCAATGGCTAAGTCTGACTAGATATATTAAAGCTAATAATACAAAAGATAGCTACATATACGCTATAATAGAAAATAAGATATGCACATAGATTCTTACCAATACGATTAGGATAGAGTTAAATAATTCATCTATTAGGATAGAGTTGAATAATTCATCTCTTGTCGTCTAGAGTATGCATGCAATATATTATAAATTACGCTAGATTGCAAATTACTAGCAGTAGATTATATATCTTTAGCCACTTTGTTAAAAATCATGTAGTAGACTAGCTAGTAGTCATTATTATCAATTTATCATCACAATTATAATTCATTAATCAACTACTGATTATGAACGGTAGCTTAAAAATATCACAAATCAGTTACAAATACTTGTGATTTGCTATCAATCGACATATATAATACCTTAAAGAAATCAAATTATATCACAACTTTAACAATAATTTCACATTGGACGACACTCAAAATTAGATGTAATAAACCAATGTAAAACACTAGCTAGAGTTAGGCACAAAATATGATAACTGATTCCCTGAACATATGGGATAAATATTGACTATCCTAAAACGCTAACTAACGGCTATTACTATGCTGAGTATACATATTGACTAAAGATGTATACAATAAGTATGATAACTACAGCAACATATGATTACATAGTCATATGCTCGTATCTATAAGACTATAACGCTTATTAACTAATACAAAGTATGATTCTAAAACCAAAAAGTAATCCAAGGATTTTTGCCTAACCCAGCTTCAATACTAACAATCTAAGATAGTATGACAATATAGATAAAAACCTTGACAATATAGATAAAAACCTTAACACCATAATAAAGTACTCGTGTAATACCAAGGGAGTTTTCAATATGATGTAAAGTGATTAATGCAAAACTAATTTGACTAGCCGTAATTGTGATTAAACAATAACAAAGTGGCGCACTAACGCAGTAGAAACTATATGCAAATATTGTATTAGTTTGGGAAACTATTATTGGGTAAGTATTGAGTAAAACATATAAATAGTGATGCAACTACTCGACTTCCTTTAATACTAGTATCCACTAAATAATGTGTTAATTACTTGATAAACATCTAGTCGTACAACCAATGTCCATGACTATAGATTAACAATCAACGAAAGTAATATGCATAATCAAATAGTATATATATATATATATATAAGTTCTTTTCACAAACAAAACCAATTAACCTGGTAAAGCCCAAAGAATCCGTAACGATTTCATGCATGCTGATAATTATAGATAACAAAGTTATATCAATTTATCACGAAAAATTAGTGAAACCGTAAGCGTACCTTCTGTTGCGATAAAATTAAAATTGTAGTATAGAAAATATGATTAACGATATGAATCCGCTCAATCGGCTAGAACTGGTGCGGATAACATGTTATAAAATAAAGAGAATAAGAGTGAAATTGGGAAGAGAATTGATCTGTATCTTTTATTCCATATGATAAGGTATATATATACATACAATATGATTAGGGTTTGGATGGATAAGAATATAAACCCTGGATCTAGATTGTTCCAGAATAATACAAAGGAGGATAATGGATATCCATAAATATTTCATAACAAATACGTAATACTTTATTTAATGCTATGAAATTTTATTAGTACAAGAACACTTATACAAAACATTTTCTAGATAAACATTATTAAAATAACACAATAAAAGTAAAGAATAATATCACCAGAGATACTGGTAGTAAAACCGAAAAAATTACAAATTTTAATAGCACTAAGCCTAATTAAATATTTAGTATAATTGAATAATACATTAATATGTATTTAATTTATAAAAAAAAAGATATTACTAAAAATTCATGTAGAGGCGGTGGTAGAGCAGTAAGCTAGTAAGCAACATTTAACAATTTGATAATTCATAATCATAAATCATAATTCAAACAAAATGCATGAATTATAAGTCATAAATCGTATACATGTATAAATGTATAATTCATGTAAAATTTAATATTTCAGAAACTTCTCATGTAAAATCAGTGGCGTATCTAGAAATTTCGAACTGTGGGTTCGGAATTTTAAAAAAAATGATGATCATATATTAACTAAATATTCAATACATAAGTTCATTTTTTTTAATTACAAATACATGGATTTTACAAAAAAAAAAAAAAAAAAAAAAAAAAAAAAAAAAAACTACAAAGCATTTTTCGAGTTTTCATAGTTTGAAAGCGTGCTAATACATTACTACTTCTATAAATCTATATTTCTATTGCAAAAAATCAATATTACACTTAAAAATAAAAATAAAAAATCTCAAGTCCCAGGACCTAAGGAGGAGGTTCAATGCTCTAACAATCACTCCCTTACCAATGTGCCAGGTTTTGGGCTGCATTTTTGTCAGTTTTGGCTGGTATTGAGGTTTATATGGTTACTTGATCTAGATGAAATGTCTAACACTAGTATTGCATTAGACAATAGTTGGGATAAAACACATTCTTATATCAGAAAACAGAAATACTTTCTTAAATGGATTGATCTTGCTAAAATTAATAAGTGTATGTATGTGATTTGACAGGAACTCGAGGCACAAGCTTGTGAAAATGAGAATGAGGTCACTGAAATCAATGGTTCTAGTTCAAATGTCACCTCATCCCAAGCTAAAGATGATCCCATGTATTTAAAGTTATGGGAGAAGTCAAAGAGGTATATTAAATATTTGTCTGATGCACGAACAGTTTGTGTTTCTTTATACTAAAATTCTGACTTTGTTTTATCTTCTAAGGCATAAAAATGGGAAGTTTGACGATGAGGCCGAGGAGAAGTTCAAGGAATTAAGGGATTTGCATGAGAAGGAAATTGGTGAAAAGGGGAATGATAATCTTACTCTTGAAAAAGCTTATGTGAAGGTTCTTGGACATTGTTCAGGTTATGCCCGAGGTTTAGGCAAAGGGCACCCGGTGTCGTCTAAAGATGGAAAGATAGGAAGAGCTGAGCTGGAACAAAATGTTGAAAAACTACAAAATGAAAATAATATTATGCGAGCTGAATTGGAAGCGTCTAAGAAGAAACAAGAAGACCTAGAACAAAAGCTTCGGTTAATCATGGAGAAGATTGGCCTTGATGCTTGATAGAGCTAATATTTTCTCACGACTCTCTATGCTATGTTCAATTTTAAAATGACTATTAGATGACACGGTGGGTGTATGGTATACAACATGTTTTATAAACACAAATAAAATGAAAGTCACTCCTTTGCGAAGTTGATTCTACATAGAGGAGTTGATCTTGTATATGGTGGTGCTGGCAAATTTGACCTTGATCAATTAAAGTCTTAATAAGGTCTCCTAATGTTTGTTAATGGCACGATTTGAGTATTGGTCAAAGGAAAATATATACATATTCGTTAAAGCTGATGACATTTTATGGTCTGTGTAACTAATTATATTGCAAAGTTGATAACTTAAAGCAACGGACTTGAGTATGAACAGAATAGTACCGAGCAGAACAATACTTGGTTATTATTATCGGACTTGTAAGAGTTGGAATGTAGTTTAAGATTATGGAAGTGTGAGAAACATAGCATTTGGCTTGGTAAGAATCAATGGGGATGAACATGTATGAGTATAAAGTAATTGAGCTAGTCCATCAATTGTTTTTTGTGATGGAGCTGCACTTAACTTGGCAAGCATGTTCGTGAATGTCGAAAATGTTAGTAAAATAGTTATCCTGTTCCCGGGTTTCAGAATGAAAAGAGTTTGTATATTTATTCAATTTGATGTACCATTGAAGAGATATAGGTGCCATATTAATATTAAGAAGCATATTTTGACATTATGCATTTATGGTTCCATTTTCTAGTTTCTCTGTACTAAAACAGATTTGCACATCAAATTATGAATTTTTGGTTCCATTTTCCAGATTTGACATTGATTATATTTAAATGTTTAGAAAAGTAATAACTTTTACGACCTTTGCAGACACTTTGCAAAGAAGGCATTAGATACTGCAGACATTACTCATCAAATAAGCAAAGACACTTCAATAATCGATGCTGGGACAGGGATAACAGAAGCAGGTGGTGTTGATTTAATTGTCATATCAGCTAAAAAGGGGATGCTAGAAGGTGCAATGATGAGAAGATTGCTTGATAATGTCCTAGAAAAAAATATTATTAAATATTTGCTATTATTTAGGATAACTTGGTTAATACTTTGTATATAATGACAAAATTAGAATTTATGCATATTAACACTTTTTTTTCCTTTCTAAATGTCCTCCTAGTTTTTTTTTTTAAACAAAAAAATTGAACAAAGAGGGCGACTTTGATTTTGCCCTTTAAAATTTGATCAAACAGGGCGAATTTTGAGCAAGGAGGGCAATATAAATTGACTTGTTTAAGTTGTTTATAGAGGGAAAAAACAAATTTTGTCTTGCTTGATTCAATCAAAGAGTAATATTGTTTCATAAATATTATAATTAATATTATAAAAAATTACATAATGACATAAACCATGTTTTGTTTAATTTGTATAGGATATGGAATCTGAAGAAGGCGGCGACGGTGTGAATTATAGTGAAAATTTTGTCACGGATACGTTATTTCCAACATTTGACGATGTAGTTACATGGGCTGATGGTGTTTCCATAAATTTGGGATTTATTTTGGTGAAATCGTCTTATAACAAAACCAGAGATGGTCGGTCGTATCGGTATTTGCGATGTGATAGGTCACGAAGGAGCAAGCCGAGAGATTTGGAGAACGCGATACGGAAGGACACAAAAACCAAAGCTAATGGTTGTCCATTCTACATCAAGATATATTATGAAGTCAGCACCGACAGTTGGAAGATCATTGCGAAAATTGATCACATCGGGACACATAACCACCCAATGATTGTGTACCAAGAGGGTCACCGTAAAGTAAGCGGATTGAGTCCGGGTGCAAAACAGGTTTTGCGGGACATGACAAAGTCCAAGGTTGCGCCCCGTAACATCATGTCAACTATTGCAGAGCAATTTCCTGATGATCATCTAAACATCCGACACATTTACAATTGCCGAAATGACTTCAGGATGGAAATGTCCGAAGGAAGAGGAGTTGTTCAGCAATTTCTTCATCTGGCGAGAGAGAGTAAATACATTTACTGGGTCATGAACGAGAGAGAGTTATTCATCACGGTCATCAGCATGACTAGCCGAGAATTCGTCTACTACCAGACTGTGGGTCTCCCAACCAACCACTAGTAGACCCGTATTGCTTCTCGGGCTGAAACGGTGCTGAACGAGATGACTGTCTCCTAACAGACGCATTCAGACGTCGTGATATTGCATGTTGAGCACCAGAACCCTCGATCTACATAAAATAAGTACAAAATCCGATTTTAGTAATAATAATAATAATAATAACAATAATCACAACAACAACACCAACAATCATAATCATAATAACAACAACAAAAAAAATTAAAATTAACAACAACAACAACAACAACAACAATAACCATAATAACAATAATAACAACAATAACAACAAAGAATAAAGTTAACAACAACAGCAATAACCATAATAACAATAATAACAACAACAACAACAAAAAATAAAATTAACAACAACAACAATAACCATAATAACAATAATAATAACAACACTAATATCAACAACAATAATACTAATCATAATTAAAAATAATAATAATAGTACTACTAATAACAATAATAATAATAATAATAGTACTACTAATAACAATAATAATAATAATAATAATAGTACTACTAATAACAATAATAATAATAATAATAATTATTATTATTATTGTTATTAGTAGTAGTATTATTATTATTATTATAACAACAACAACAACAACAACAAAAAATAAATTTAACAACAGCAATAACCATAATAACAATAATAATAAAAATCCTAATATTAACAATAATAGTAATACTAATCATAATTAAAATGATAATAGTACTACTAATAACACTACAAAATAACAACAAAAATAACAGAATCCAAAAATAAATAAAAATAAATAAACAACTACAACAACAACAATAATCAAAATAATAGTTAACATAATAATAACAATAACAACACAAAAATCAACTAAAAATAACAATAATAAAAATAGAAATAATTCCAATCTGAAATTTTTGAAAAAAAGGCATATTATTCACGGAAAAAAAAAAATTTAAAAACGGAACCTCCAGGCTTCCGCCCAAAAATTCCGGATGGACCTGGGAGGATCCGCCTGTAATTTCCGGATCCTCCTAGGTACTTCCGGAAATTTTAGGCGGAAGTTAGATCCGCCCAGAATTTCCGGAAGTACCAAGGAGGGTCCGGATTTTTCAGGCGGAACCTCCTTGGTACTTCAGGAAATTCTGGGCGGAAGCCTGGAGGTCCCGTTTTAATAAAAAATTACCTGCTCGCCGTCAAAGCCGCCTCCGCCGCCACTGCTGCCTCCACCGCCGCCCAAACTCCTCCCTCCGAATGTAAGCCTTATTCGCCTCGAATCACCCATCCTTTTTTTGTGTTTTTGATGATTGTTGTTTTTTTTTAATTAACAAAAAAATTTTCAGATTTATATTTTCAAGTTTTTTAGAGAGTTAGAGAGTAAGAGAGATAGTGAATGAGGTAAGATAGTGAGAATGTGAGTCGTATAGTGGAAAAAAACCGTATTTAAATGTTAGGGGTAAAATTGGAACTTCATACAAAAATGCGAGCGTTACCCTGTAAAATGGGAGCGACGTTTAACAACACCCTATTCAATAACCTAATTGAAGAACAATTCGAACCCTGACGTAGTTGAATCTCATATTGGGCCCCTTGTTGTATTGTTTCTAATCCACTGCCAACTTAGCTAAGGAAAACTTGTTATTTATTTCTTACACTCAATTGTATATAACTATTTCCCCCCTTTTTTTTTTGTTCTTGAAATGTTTTTTCCTCTATTTTTTTTTTTCCGAAAGTGGGGGGACAATCCCTTTGTTCCTTAGTGGATCCGCCCATGTATAAAAGGTTTATTCCACAGCATATATTAAATTCATTTCTTATAAATCTAGATTTATACTTTTTTTGAACATGCTTATAATTTCATGACACCTTTTTATTCGTCCCGAATATATATTTACTAAAAATTTTCATTCATATTGTTTTAACTAAAGTATTGTGAATTTTCCAGTCACAAATTAAGTAGGTTTTTAGTTCAATTTTTATAATTAATCTCTTATTATTTCTATGTAATTATCATCAATTTGCTTTTGAAATGAAAATCATGTGTGTAATTTATGAATTTTAGTTGTTTACGCTTTTTTTTTTTGAGAAAATTGTGAAAAAGGACCTTTTAAGTGGTTGACTTTTTAAAAAAGGACCTTTGAAGTTAAAATTTGTGAAAAAGGACCTTTTAAGTTGTACTTTATTTGAATGGGGTACTTGGGTGAGCTTGTATGGTAGTCAACACAGGAGATTCGGGGTTGACTATCACGTATAAGTCACGTGTTTTTTTTTTAAAAAAAAAATCAAAAAAATTTCCCAAATTTCCATCATTTCTCGACCGAACCCGCCCTTTCATATAATATTTTCACGGAGGTCGGGAAAGGGGGAATTTTTTTTTTTTTTTTTGAAATAAGTCAAGTGACTAATATGTGATAATGAACACCGGCAGAGCTCCAAGATTAACCACCTCGCAAGCTCACACAAGTACCACATACAAACAAAATATAACTTAAAAGGTCTTTTTTCACAAGTTTTCATTTAAAAAGACCTTTTTCAAAAAGTCGATCATTTAAAAGATCCTTTTTCACAATTTTCTCTTTTTTTTTGACGAATTTGTTTACATATATTTGAAACACAAATTCTTATATAAAATATGGTTATCAGCTCCATTGTTTTTTTTTTTTGTGAAGAATATCAGCTCCATTGTTGATGCATGGTTTCCACACTTCAAATATACAAGTAAAAGACAATTTATTAACAAGGGTTACTATGATGATGATCGAAGGTTGTTATCTTGATGGAAGGGGTTAATCCAATAATGGAAAAATGGGTTCAGGATTAAATTATATATAATTAGTAGATCAGCCCTATTCTATCTTTTATTATTGTAAAAACAAGAGAAGATGGGTTACTTAAAAGAACATGTGGCGTTGTTACTTAATTTTAAATAATTGATGTTAGTTTTCTTATGAATGAAATAGAATTGCTCAAACGTATGGATAAAATAAGGTTATTAATTCGTATAAATGAATTATTGTAATGTTGTATGTTACTCTTATAAACAATGTGCTAACATTAGGTTGTTGTATTGCAATTCTGTAGACGAATGTGTACCTGCTGGGGGAGTGTGTGATGTTAGTTTTACTGGTTCACACCAATACTGTGGAAGATTGGTTTGTGATTATGAAGTGAGAATTTGTTATTCATCAGATGATTAAATTCAATCTCCAACAAATATCCACTTAATACTTATCCATCATACATGCATTGGACGACCACTTTATTTTCATGCTAAATCAAAGCTTTAATTTACTCCACTTCATTATGAATTTTATGTAATGTGTTTTCATTTTCCTTGTACTTAATGTATCATGTATGTTGTAGTTCTCCCATCCGTTGGCAATCTGGCATTTGGGATCCCAACATGCATGAAAATAAAATTAGGGTTGATATTTATATACAACTTTTGCACAATATGTACAATTTTTTATTTATTTTATTATTATTTTTTTGACAATAGCAAAACCCTAAATTAATCATAAACTAAAGTACATACTAGAACATTAGGGGTAGAACCATATAACAACTTTCTATTCGGAAGCCATACAAGTTCGGTGGGATAAGCCGCTTTCCTTTTTGAGCCACTCATCCTGCAAAACAAAGGGTTAGTAAAAACAGAGGAAGTTAAATTTCTTAGAGAATGACTTTGCCTTCTAGCTCTGGAACGACAAGAAGAAACCAATAACTTCAAATTTTGAGAAGAGGATTTGTTGGGGCTTGCAGCAGACTTCACCAGGGAGTAGAATGGAGCATCTGGAAGGGGCACCGATGTACTTTCACACGATGGTGACACTTGATCAACCATACCTATGGTCGAATCTTCTTGTGCCAAATTTGGAGTTGCTTCACACCTATCATGCCCTTTCACAGGGGGGTGACTAACCTCCATTGGTGTAAAAACTTTCTTGAGTTTCAACACAATCCATCTTCTTTGGATGATCGAGTACTCGGATGCTAATAAAATCCTTCTTGGAAGAGCAATTGTAGTGTTGTGTCCGTCCCTTAAAAATCGCTCCATACATTGTTGGAGTGAGATGCAAATAGGAATCAATACGTTTTCGGTTACAAAACCGATAACTTGACCCCTGTAAGATTTGGGTTTTTTGTTTCTGAAGTTGACTTCAGATTAGAATTGTTATCAATAATGTTGGGCCTTCGATCTTAATCGATAGGGTTAGCTTTACCCTCCTCCGAATTCAAAGATTTTCCAGCAACATCCTTTTCCTTTTTGGTGACATCTTTTACACCAATACACCTATGAACACAACCATCTCCACTACCATCTCTTTGCTTTCTTTTCCCTTTTTTCCCTAACTTCCTCTTTTCTTCTTTTTTCCCAATTTTAGCATAATCTCTAAACATTTTATCCTCTCTTGTAACTGCAAGTGCCTCATTAACAAAATCCGGAGACCAACCCAATAAAGAGGTCACCTCATTGAGTTTTTGTTGAAACTCTCTGTTGGTGGGATCAATCCTAATTTCTTGTGCGAGATCCATAAAAGCTAAGTCGGGCTTATTGAGCTCTAAAGCTGCCACTGCCCTTCTAAAGTAAGCTTTTACATTAGATGTATCATAACACAAAACTGTAGAACACAACTGACCCACCTTGTCAAAGTTTTTCTCTTTGACATAACAAGCACCCAAGTTCAGATTAAGAGCCACAGCTAGGCTCGAAAAAACAGATTTATCTTCATCATTACAGACTGTAACAAAGGATAAAATCTTAAGTGCAAGAGAGTATTTTGCAAGCGCTAATCCCATATTACTCTTTTTGTAGAAATTGTTACCTTCATCTTTCAAACCATTAACAAAATCCAGAATACCAAAAGGATTCTCCAACTTTCCAACTTAAAGCTCTAATTTATGAGAAGAGATATCATCCTCTTCAACATGAGAAATACACAAAATCCCCCTAAGTTCTTCAAAATTATCCATAAAAACTTTAAACAAAGACAAACCAGAAATACCAAACAACTAGAAACTAAGGTTCAAATTGGTAACCAAATAGTAAACAAGCTTCTCCATAACTGTTAATTCGGATGATATACTACAAGGGGGGTGAATTGTAGTATGTTCCTAGTGCCTACTTTTCGCGGATTAGGAACTTAGACAATGCAAAGCGGATTTTACGAGGAAACCATCCAGGGCCCAATTGGAAGTAAAACCTCGACCCTACCTTAGGGATTTCAAACACACTTCACTATAATAGGGCAAATACCAAGTTACAACCTATTAAACACAGACCTTTGTTTTCACAAGATCCTCACTGGATTTGCTATTTGATAGGACCCTATCCAACCCAATCTAAGCACCACACTTAGATTCACTCGTACCACCAAAGTACTACACGTACTGCCACAGTACAAATACTTGTACCACCTAAGTACAAAACTCACAGCTTCACCTAGAAGCTCACACATTATACTCTTAATATAATTATAACAAGAATCCTCACGAACTCTCACACTCCAATACGTAAAACACTCAAAAACCCTTTTTCCCAATTACACGATCTCAAAGAGTAACTCTAAATACATACCAATGAATAAAGAGATAAAACTAATATGCTGGTTACTCGAGATCTGTCTGGAACTTACTGGACGAACTATAACCGGAACCTGACTGGAACTTCAACCTGGAGGTTTGACTTAGCTTCGTGGTGAAGGATGAAACCATTAAGCACGACCACTGCACTTCGTCAACCTCAACTTTGAATGAATACATATGAGCATATTTATAGTACACCCAAATTATTCTTTTCGTAAAAGATAAGTTTTATTAAAAGATAAAAATAAAAGATATTTTCCAAAAATAAGTTTTCCATAAATATATCATTTGTTAAGAATATATTCTATCAATAATAATAAGATATATTTACCATAAAATCAGATTTTATCTAAATCTTATATTTTCCAAATATACTAATATATCTTTTTACAAAAGATATACTTACCATATCTTTTTACAAAAGATATACTTGCCATATCTTTTTATAAAAGATATACTTACCATATCTTTGTACAAAAGATATATTTACCATATATTTTAACACAAGATATACTTGCCATAAAATTAGATTTTATTTAAAACTTATTTTGCTGAAAATATTTTCCAAAAATAACTTATCTTATTCCAAAGGGATTTATTAGAAAATAAATATCTTTATTCTGTAAAATCAAATCCCTAAAAGATATGCACGTATTAGGTAAATATATATTTCATTAAATTCGACCTGCGACATTTAACGATGTGCAGACCTAAGTTCCGATTAGGTTCTGGAACTCTGGCAGTCTCTGAGTTCCTGACAAGTCAGTAACTCTAATTTCATTGACTATCATGAGTTCACCTTGGTTCTTTAGACTTGTTCCAGACTGACTTTTATGTCCAACATACTTACATGAATCCTAGAGCGATATACTTTGATTTCTCCGTTTTCATATTGTTTCTTTGAAACTCTTGTTCTGGAATCTTATAGTATTGATGTATTCTAGTTATCGGGGCAACGTTGTTCCTGTTAGGGAACTAAGTTCCTGTTAGGGAACTCTTCATGTACGTGTTGGGGAACATGGAACTCTTCATGTACCTGTTAGGTAACATGATCCGGCTCTCGTGGGAAAGCCTCCCAAAGGTTCCTTCTGCATCTCGTTAGAGAATATCTTCTGGTTCCTTCGTGGTTTGGTTCTTGTGGGAGAACCAGCTTTAGGTTCATTCATTCTCTCTTGTTCCTCTTGAAGTCTTCTATGTTCCAACCTATTGACTTCACCTAAGTCAGTTCCTGTCTTCACATAAACACTTAAGAGAAACATTAGATTGAAGTTTGTTTGTCATAAACAAACTTCAAGTGAGAGAACTAATTAAACTTAAAGCTTATGTAAATACTCCTACATATATAACTCATGTATGCATAATGTACTTACCTTATGAAGCTAACATATGCAAACACCTATTTACATAGTTACCTTCATGGTTCTTTAGCCATCATCATGTTTATCAACCATAACACTCATCATTGTTCTTGTTTCTCTATTGCTTATCATATATTGATCAGGTTCCTTATATATATATATGTGACATTGCTCAGGTTCCTTGTATCCTATTCCAAGAATAAATTTTTCTTTCTATGCATAACTTAACAAACACGTTAGATAGATAATCATCATTAGTTTACAATCATCAAAACCTAATTACTCAACAATAACTGAAACAAGGCATACCAGAAAATCCATTACGAAGAACACTCTAGCAAAGGAATGAAGGAAGACCCTGGCCGATAGATGCGTTGCTGCCCTTACACCACTGTGAAAGATACTTGATACACAGCCAATCGCGGATCTTTCGAACAGAGAATAGTCTCCGTGTATAAGACCCTAAAATCCCCCAAATTCGAAAAACAAACCCTAACCCTAACTTTTCTTCAGTAAAATTGGAATGTTCGGATTAAAATAGCCAGGAGGAACGCGCCTAATTGGGCCCGAGGTCGTCAAGAAATGCTCGCCGACGACCTTAGATGAGCAAAGGTGCTCTGGCCGCCGGCAGCAGCAGGGGAGGCTTGAGGGAGTTGAAGTTTCTGTTTTAGAGAGAAGGGAGAACGTTTTTCCTGTTTTGTCCAATTATGTACAATTGTACATCTATATTTTACATTTTCTCGCTTATATTTATTTAGTTTTATATCAACGGGGATATCTTATTACATTATCATGACTAAACAGCGGATACTAGTATATTTTTGCTTGATTGGTGGAATATTAACGGTGACTTTAGTTAATTCAATTCGTAATAATTGTTGTAGTGGTTCCTAATTTCCTATGCCTTATCCTCCAACTCTCACTTGGCAAAATTTGATTTGCAATAAGATTTATCCTGCCCTCATTTTCGTTAGATAAGTGACATTTGATATTTTTTGAATAATAAACAAGTTTGGGGTAGTGTATGAAGATCGATTCTTTTTTTACCGTTTGAAAGTGTCAAAATTGATTCTAATAAAATGTGTCCATGATCTTCTTCAAAAATTAGGCACATGATCATTGCCAAAAGGAGTAGAAAATACCGAATCTTTTTGGGATTATATTAGGTAAATATTTATCTTTTGGAAAATTTTGGCACTCGCAAAGATTTTTACATTAGAATATTAATAAATAAAAAGGTAAAAAAAAATCATATATGCGGGGATAGCTCAGTTGGGAGAGCGTCAGACTGAAGATCTGAAGGTCGCGTGTTCGATCCACGCTCACCGCAATTTTTAATTTAGGATTTATTATTTGAGCATTTTTTTTTAAATTTAAAAAAAAATAACTACAAAAATCATCTTCACTAGTTCACAATCTACTCAACTACAAGAGAGCATAAATTAAATTAAAACAAATGTTAGGTTAATTACGTACCTATTAAACTTTTAAATATGATGAATCTTAACTATCAGATGTTACAACAATGTGAAAATTATTTTCGAACAAACATCTTGACTAGTTCATAATCTACTCAACTAAAAGAGAACATAAATAAAAGAAAAATGCTATACATAGCCCTTGTTAGGGCTACATATAAGAATTAAATTTACACTAAAATAGTAAAAAGTTAAAAAAATCATAAAATAAACATTAATTACACTAATTTACACGTGTTTTTGTCATGAATTCCTAATTTTCTACAAGATCCAAGAGTGTATTTAATTATTATATATAGCCCTTAGGGCTACATATAGCATTATCCTAACCACGCTCACCGCAATTTTTAATTTAGGATTTATTATTTGAGCATTTTTTTTTTAATTTAAAAAAAATAACTACAAAAATCATCTTCACTAGTTCACAATCTACTCAACTACAAGAGAGCATAAATTAAATAAAAACAAATGTTAGGTTAATTACGTACCTATTAAACTTTTAAGTATGATGAATCTTAACTATCAGATGTTACAACAATGTGAAAATTATTTTCGAACAAACATCTTGACTAGTTCATAATCTACTCAACTAAAAGAGAACATAAATAAAAGAAAAATGCTATACATAGCCCTTGTTAGGGCTACATATAAGAATTTAATTTACACTAAAATAGTAAAAAGTTAAAAAATCATAAAATAAACATTAATTACACTAATTTACACGTGTTTTTGTCATAAATTCCTAATTTTCTACAAGATCCAAGAGTGTATTTAATTATTATATATAGCCCTTGGGGCTACATATAGCATTATCCTGAATAAAATTAAAATAAATATTACGTGGATTACATAACGTACTTATCAAACGTTTGGTATGATGAATCGCAAATCGAAAACACTTGAGCTTTTCCTCTGTTTGCACATTGCTAGTGCTGCTGGTTTACTACTTGTTTTTAGTTTGTACTGAAGATGTACTCTCCATTTCATTGGCATAGATTGGTTCAAGTAGGTATGTCAATGATTAAGTGAAAATCAGGTTTCATTCAATAGTGCAGATGTGCGGCCAAACGTAGTAACGTACAACTAAATGTATCAAGGATATTGTCACGAATCCATCCTTCTCAAAGTTAACATGAGCTAACAATTTACAAAGATTAACCAATTTACAAGCATATTTATCTAATTATCTCTTACAATCTTCGCTTCCTTAACTCGGAAGCTGTATTTATTATAACATTGGCATCCTTATTTATAGATACCAAGCAAAGAACAAACAAACAAACAAATAAATTGAATGTTGAAACTACTCTTACAGTAGTGTAACACGATGATTAGAGAAGCGAGGAATGTAACCTCGGGTTTCAACCTTACATTTATCTTTCACATCATCGAAGACAATGGTGTAGTTGTAGCTGCTCACATTCCTAAAGTAACAAAATTTACCAGTGTTCTCATTAAAATCATAAACCTGATGTGTACTTCCCAATCCACCAGACACCAAATTGTTCTTCACCAGCATATTTCCATCCCCCTTTTGCCAGTTTCGCAGTGTGCTTGAGGAAAGCACGCCTGCAGCAGCCAATGTCTTATCCTCGTCGAATCCTAAGGTCACATTGCTCAGCAAACTATAGGTGTTGTCACCTTGATCAATCTGGTTGGTATTCACAAACAACGGAAACTTCTTGTGTGATTCGATCTTATACAGTGGAGAGGCAGCAGACTCTATGTTTGCAGAAACAGTGGTGTTAAAGTGAATAGTCTGATTCACTGCCTGAAAACTACCATCATTTTTAAGCACATTAGTGTTTTGGAAATCGAATTCTTGAATCGAAACTGTTGTGATGTTCCCCTTAGAGGATTCTACCCATCCTTTCGACACTATAGACCTACTTGCAGCAACCTTAAACTTGCCATTAAGACCTTTGAAACGTGATTTCGTCGACAAAGTTAGAGGGTCAGCATTGTTCTCCAATAACTCCCCCTTCACAACCTTCACTTTATTGTCCAACCAAAGATGCAAATTAGCATCAACATACCACACATTCAACGCATTCGTAACACTAAACCCGAGATCATGCAGTTTTCCATCCAACAACTTGCCCAAGAACGGAGTGATTTCAATTTCATATTTAGGGAGATCAAACGATCCAATCGCGCTAATCGGCCTCCAAAGGAGGGGATTAATTCCACCAGTGAAAATCACAGTAAAAGGCCAAACAGCACCAATCAATTCACCATCTAAACTCACCAAAACCTCCCTAAAAGCCCCATTTCCAGGCGTATTACTACTCAAATTATTCACCAACAAATAATCATTCGGCAAATTGGTATACCAAAATTCATCATTCTCATGAAACGAAACATAAACTTCTAACACAGCCCTATAAACATTCCTGGGAATCGACACCTTTTTCGACTCGAAATCAGTGGAATTCTGAATTTCAAACCACAACCCATCCTTCAATGGCAAATTCCTCGAAATGGGTACTATCAAATCCGCCCAATTTCCAAACAAATCACCAGAATTTCCATCATCATTCACAACAGGGTAATAATGAAAAGTGACATTAACATGATAAACACCAGTATAAGTTTGATCAACAAGATTCCCAATATAAACAGCAAGAGTCTGATTAGATTGCGAAAGCAAAGAAGAATACTTAGTGATATCCTTACGAACCTTCCAGAAAATACCGTCTCGTGTAGGCTCGGCAGTGCAGCTACGAAGGAGCTCAACCCCAGAAAGCCAAACACCGAAGATGCGGTCAAATTGGCGGCCACGGCAAGCGGCGGAGAACTCGAGGACGACGGTGGAGTAGTGGGAGAAGGGGCAGTGAGAAGGGGGGGAGTAGGGTGCGGTGACAGGGGGGCGAGAGTAGGTGTTGGCGAAGTCGTGCGAGAGGAGGAGGTGGGAACACGGGGTGGTCGTGCGGGAGGAAGGTGGTGGTGTGGGTTTGGTGACTTCGAAGAAGGTGGTGGGGTGAGGGGGTGGTGGTGCGGTGGTAGAGAGGGTGGTTGTGAAGGGGAGAAGGGTGGAGAACGGTGGGGTGGGATGGCCGAGGAAGAATGGAGGAGAGAGAGTGAACTGAGGAGAGAGAAAATAATGATTGGATGCATTTTTTTTACTGTATTTTTGTTTTTTTTTTGTTGGAGGTCAACTTGGAGAATTCATTGAATTTTATATTGAAATGGTTGTTGCTCATTTATGATAGAATCATGGGAGTATGTAATTAGAAAAGATAATAAATTGAATTTAATCCAAATTACTGGTATACTCATATGAATCATATCATATTAATTCATACTACGTATAATAAGATCATAAAGTTGATAGAAATTGAATTTCCATTGAAATATTGAATATTGGTTGAAAAGTAAACATAGATAGAATGAGTATTGATAGAATTTAAAATATTTTAGGAATATTTTTTGATATGATTTTAAAAAAAATAATAATAAAATAAAAAAAAAATTGTAAATATGTTTTATATAAGAGATATGATTGTGTAAAAAAATTAAGTAGTAGAAAATTAGAAATAATATAGATTCATAAAATGTGAAAAAGTCTTGGGGTAATATCGAAAATTTAAAATTGAATCCTTTCTACATCAAACAATGTATATAATCACCAATTACACAATTAGCAATAAATGATTTTTTTTTTAGATAAGGAGAAAGACGCTGACCGTACCTCAACCCTCACGATTTTTTTGGGTTTGGTTTTTTTACGGGTCAGACACTTTAAGAGTGAGGGGGAAGGGGAAGGGTAAGGGATACTCACCCAAATGTCTCTAGTGGGGATAGAACCCCAACCTCAAGATTGAAAGGTAACAATCTTACCACTATTTTAAATTTAGCTTGGTGGAATAAATGATGTGTTAGGTACTCCCTTTACAAGCTTAGTTTGGTTAATTTATCAATCTCCAAATGGTGAAGTGGCGTTATATGGTCCTCTAACAATTCCTTTACTCTTATTACTAAATACTAATCTGCTATTGTTCCATCATTTTCTAATATTGTATTCCAACTACTTGTATTTTGCCATACTTTTTCACATCAGACCTAATTTACCCGTGTTGCTTTCTGCCTTTGATGGTGAAATCCATGAGCAATTGTGGTGTATTATATTATTATGGAGTATATCTTACTATATTTATCAATATACTTGCATGTATCATTACAACCCTACTCCCTCTGTCTCCATTTAATTTTTTTTAACTTTTGGTTGAAACAAGTAGATAGAAAATAAATAAATTAAAAAAAAAATGGACTTAAATGCAGTGGTTGATAAAGTAAAATAGTGGTCTAATACAAAGAAAATATTATGAGACAGACTTATAAAAGGATGAACTAAAAAGAAAAATAGGGCAAACATGGGTAATAACATTTTTATTATTCATATAATTGCTCTGAATTTTACAAAGTACTGTATTGTATTATTCTTCCTATGTTGACCTATTTTGTATCACAATAAATATCTAAGTAGGATAAACTATATAAAACGGAGGGATTACTATATTTGACAATGTTTGATTACTACAAGGGTCGTATATAATGATAAATATATTTGTTTCAATGTCTGTAATCGAGGACAGCCCAAACTGATGCGTCATTTGATGAACTCCATCTCTCTTTTCAGGATATTATCAGAACAATCAAATTATTCATCCTTTTAAGTGCAACAATTAAGCAAAAGAACGACTATGTCTAATTTGAGTTTCTAAAAATGTATAATTTACAAGTTTTTCATCATCCCTGGAGAATTAATGCCCAGGAAAGTGCTGCAACATACTTCGATCGATCTGACTTGCATCAAGCACATGTATACATGGTTACTATTATAAATACATGAGAATTTTTACAGCTTATAAAATACTACGTACAAAAGAATGTAAATTAAATCAAATTAGTGAAGTGATCTGTTTAAAACCGACAATTGACCGGAGTCTCCATTCAACAAAAAGACCTCTAAAGGCATGTATGATGAAGAGGACGTCATCGACGAGCTGAATCTGTACGTCGGCTGTAGAATCTTACTTCCCTTGGCGCATTGAATTGTTAGAATTCGTGGTCCTGTTCTCATCTGCCACACCTGTATCAGTGAATAAGTTGCGTTCAGACATCATTGAGAGCATATCACAAATATGAAATATCCTTTAGTTTGAGTTCTAACATTTCCTATTCTGAATATAGTGTTCAATTTATAGATCTAAAGCAAGCTCCCACACCAAAACACATCTTGCCAAAACTTCCCTCCCTTGAACCCCGACAATGGCTTCCTACAAATGTCATAGCAAGGTCATGTATCGGACTTGTGGGATCTCTTATTAGTGTTGCAGATAAAATAGCAAACAAGACTCCAAAAAGTATGCTTCCATGAGTAGAAAATGAACAAAAGCCCAATAGTCTTATCTATGAACCAGACCAAAGGGGAGGTACAAGGCCTATTGAACCAAGTTTTTGCCAAGAGCTCAAACACACACAAGTGAAACAAAAAAGAATTTTATAAAATGAGGGGAAAAGGGACACAATTTGTATTGATGGATCAAAATGATAAAGGACCAGATACAATCTGCCCAATTTTGAGAGGTGGGGGAGCTCCTAGGTGAAATTTTTTACTTAGTGAATGGTCTCTTCTGCAAGATGACAAACATAATTACTGATTTTGCCAGTACCTCGATGATTCCTTTTTTCGGAGCATGAATAGCAAGACACAAGCAATAATCGCTCTTCTTGTACTCGTGATAAGAAGTTGATGCAGGATTTTTCTTGACCAGCATCTCCATGAAAAGGCAGTTGGCATCACGATATCCCTGGTATTGAAAAAAAATAACATGAAGAATTTACATTTGGTTCTATTAAAGGACCAATTCAATTGAAGTGAGCAGTGGAGCACAGAACTCACCTTCCACAATCGAACAACGACAAGAGCTTGAGTGTCTAAGAGCAATATACGACCAAGTGAATCCGTAATAGCAGCCAATGTACCGCTAGGTGACAAGGTCAGCTTCTCTCCTTTTCTTGGCGGATCTTTCAAACAAGTCAGAGAAGCAGCTGTCACACCAACAAGGCAATGATTCAGCTCAAAATTAATCAATAGCAACTTGCCCTCATTTTGTTTTGTATATATTAGTAAAATAAAAAGGAAAAAATCAAGTCAAAGTTGGTATATGATTAGCGCGGAAAAGTCAAGAGTAATGCATTCAAATAGGAGTTGCAGAACTGTGGGAGTATTATTTTACCACTAGACTGTGCATCACGAACCTTGTAAATAAGTGCCTAGCTTAGGGGGATGTGTGGGTGTGAGTCTTGTCAAGGGTCGATTGTTAGTTTTTGTGCTTCATTGTTTCACTCTTTTTGCATTGTTGTTCATGAGTTTTATGTGGAATGTCGGATGTGAAGGCTTTGATGAAGCTTTTGGTTATTGTGGTTAGTTTTTATATGCCATTTACCCTAGCTAAAGTCTGCTTTCATTAAGTTGATGTTTGATCTTTTTTTATGATTATATGGCACGTTCAGACTAGAACTATTGCATTATAATATAAATAAGCTCACTTTTTTCACTAATGCATGTAGGTACTTTTTTCTGCTTAATTTTTTTTAGTTGAGTCTGGTTAGATTAATTGAGTGTGCTTTGCTTGATTGAGTTGCCTTGGTATGGATTGAATTGATTTGATTAGGTTGATTGTTCGACTTGATGATAATGATGGTGATGTTGATGAGATGAATGGATGAATTTTGCTGCCTTTAAATCCCAACAAAAATCCATATTTGCTTCCTTTGAAATCCAAAGCCCTAAATCCAAATTTTAGTAGTTAAATTACTTTTTTTCCCTCCTCTCTCGGAGGAAAAAAATGATAAAATCTCAAACGTCTACAAATCCCTTTTAGTGTAGTTTTTGAAAATATTTTTCCTTAATTTTGTAGTTTCTCTATGATGAAATTGATGAATGCATGGTTATTTAATTTTATTCCTTATTTTTGAGAGTTTGAGCATGAATTTCGATTTGAACCTGGCTAATTTCACTTTAAAAAATTATTTTTAGAAAATGCAAAATCTCGGTTTAGGGGATTTGTAGTAAGATAGTATTGCTTTCCCAAGTGATTTGAAACCCGAATAAGTAATTTTGGTGAGTAATTTTGAGCCGTCTATCGATTAAGCCCTCCATCATTTGGCCTTCGTTCTTTTCATGTGTGGTTTGTTATTCCTCATCGAGGCCATTTAGATCAAGAACTTGCATTGTGACTCTTGAAATCGTGACTCAAAATGTTTTTAAAAGATAATGTCTTCGCAAGAGTTAGCTTTCTTTATTGTATATAAATGTTTTATTTCATTGTTTTGTTAGACACTTGCCCTCTTTGCTACCCCCATATGCAGCCTATTCCTTCCTTCATAGCCACATTACAAGCCAAAGCCTTTATATGTATCTATTTTGACACTTATAGGCTAGTGGAACATGTTTCCCATTGAATGGAAGTAGTTTCTGCAAATATCTCACAAGAAAAAAATGAAAGGAAAGAAAAGAAAAGAAATGAGGAATGTGTATTGAAGAATGGAAAGAAAATAACAAAAATGAAAGATTATATTATTCGCTCCACGAGAGTAGGTTTTGACCACCACTTCCCAAATTTAATCTTACCTTAAACCTCATCACAACCCTAAAAGCCGCTTACATGATTTCAACATGTTAATTGAGTTTTTGCCGGTGGAGAGAGTCACTTTTCAAGCATATATGGAAGGGATGGTTTACGATGAGGTGATTGTGTACTTGAGTGTTATTCATTCTCTTTACTTTTCTAGCTCCTATTTGGATGCTTGGGATTAAGGCTTTGGTTGATTGATTAATTGATTAATTTGGATGCTTGTGATACCAATAAATAGAGCCGATTTGAACTAAGGGAAGGACATGATATGAATGTTTGCACCAACCGGAGTTAAGCGTTACTCTAATTGGTTCTAGTTTGGGGTTACTCTATCTTCCTTCTTTAACATCCAATTTACGCTGTACTTTCTTATAGTGGGAAATTTTTTTGAATCTTTGCATGCATGATCTTGTAAGGGAACCTTATCAAGCTTCTTCCCATTCCTAGTAATACAATTGCTAAGGGACAAGTAATTAGCTAGCGAGGAGGAGTTTGATAAATGGACTTTTAATGCATAATAGTGTTTTTAGTTCACTTTTGTAGTTCTTCCCCCTAATTTAACTCTTTTCAACTAAATCATTGGAGAATTAAGGAAGCTTCGGCTTCCTTATAAATACTACTATATTCTTTCATCTGCTTATCTATTTCACCTTTGTTTCTTTTCCTTTAATTTAGAATCCTTTTCTCTTTTGATTATCAATAAAGTTATAATGGCCTTTCAAAGAACTTACACCATCTGAATATAAGGCCACATAATCTCAACCTTTCATTAAAAAAAAAATTATAAGGTTACTTAAAGCTCCTTCATAATAGTTGGACCGGTGCCATACTTTCCTCATCACTCAATCTTATTAAGATAAGATTTTCTGATCATTCTAAATTACAATACATTAAAAGACTCGAAATGGAGATATATCACAGGGTACCTATTACAATCAGTCATCAGGCCACATACTTTTTTCTCTTCTGGTCATTGAATTAAGTTACTAGTTTGCTTTCCTTCTCGTTCCCTTTTTTAAAGCCCATTTCATCATCTGGTCATCGGATAAATTTCTAACAGCCTTTTAAAGTACCCACCCTGTCTGAGAGTAATGCCACATAGCTCAACCCCTCAGTATATCCTTTGTGGCACAACTTAACTAAAATACGTTCATAATTGTTGGAGCACTCTAATACTTTCCCCATAACTCAATCATAGTAAGATGACAACTTTGTCTGGTCATTTGAAAATGGAATATGCGCCTATTAAATATAAAAAGATTCATAACATGAACAAGTATATCACTGGAAAACTGGATACATCATAGTCAGCCATCAAGCCTTGACCTTGTCTATTATTACTTTCAGAATAACAATTAACCCCACACTACAAGTCCTTAACAAAAATATTGGCTCATAGCCTTACTCCATAGTATCACTTAACTTTTACTCAATCCATCAGAGTTTCTCAACAGTTATTACTTCTAAAAGCCCTTTTAGAAGCAGATATAACTTAAACCATAATTTGGCGAGATTTTTATGCTGAGAGAAGCAATAATTGAGTGGATCACTTCACCTCAGGATAATTACCTGTGAGGATGATTCAAATAGATATGAACTCTACTGGAAAGGAATATGTAGAGAAAGACAAAATGCTATTCCCTTTGACAGAATTAGCAATATAGCATCTGATAATGTCTGCCAACAGTTCCAAAATTAAACATTTGATTACCGTGACCAATGGCCAAGGTGAAAGGTGCCAGCATAATCACTAAGATAGAGTACTCAATTTCAAGCCTCACTTCTAATTAAATTGCATTCTTCTAACATTTGCATGGTTTTGAAATTTTGCAGAGAAACAAGAAGTCTTACCTCGGGCAAAAGACTGGGGATTTGGTTCAGCTTTTTTTGGTGATGCTCTGTCTCTTCTCCATAACAATTTGGAGAATGAAGCTATTGTTGAGAATGTTGCAGGAACAACTTTTGATAAGATAGCGCCAACAAGAGATCTATTTTTGTCTTCCGAAAGCCTGTATTAAATAGAACGCCTCATTCAAGCATGCTTCTAATATGAGGCAACAGTAGTTTGATAGTCAAAGTTGAATAAATAAGCACCTAACACTCCAAAATATAAGTATACCTGTATGCTGAAATGACAGCATCATTGCCGATTGTGACTGCACGATAATAGCGATGGCTTGACTGCTCAAACATAAAAGCAGCTGAATTCAAGTACCAGAATAACTTCAGACAGCTTCCATAGGTCATGGATATACAATGAGTAACAACGAAAATCTATTTCTCTTATTTGGAAAGGGAACTTAACGTGAGAGAACAGTTTTCAAAAATTAACAGCCCTTTTGATGGAACTTTAAGAATAAGCCATTTAACTGCAAACACACAGCATGGGGTCAGAGACAGCTATGAACACACCTCACAAGTTACAACTGATCCAAATACCACCAGACAATGTTCACAATTACAGTGCAATCACCATGTCAACTGTACCTTCCATTCACCCCAGCCAGGTTGCTTCCATCAAGTTGAAACTTCCAACACCTCTACAACTGATACTCAGCACCTCCCTTCCCACACCCCTAGAATTGAATCTCCAAAAAACAAAAATCAACTTAACGTAAAGAGAGAACAGCAGATGGTATTTTTACTCCTCAACCCCCCCCCCCCCCCCACAAAACAACCCACAAAATAATGGAGAGGTATAACAATGTTAAATTGACAGAGTAACGAGTTTAGGTGGCCACTGGAGTTGCCCAATGTTCTCAAATCACTCATGAGTCCTTACTTCCTCCCCCACCCCACACACACTGACACACGTTCTTGAATGTGCAAATTAGAGTTGTAGGATGTGTTAACTGTTTTCACCATTATTTTACAGCCCTGATTAATACAAACTAAGTAGAAATCTTTGTTCACATGCCTGTATAAGTACCAGAACATTGCTTTTTGGGAATCAAAGAGTCCATAGATATAGAAGGATTAGGAGCAGTGCTAGAACTGTGTTTGGTAAGGTTTGTGATGCATTGTTATCTATGATTTAAACACTAGCTCTTCATCTTTTCCTACAAGAGCGCTAAATACTAATAAGGTGTGCCTATTGTAATTCTGATGGAGATAGATATCCACATATGTCCTTTTTGACAACTTGACATGCAAAAAAATGTATACTTCCACCACAAAGAGGTAGAAGACCACCATTTACTGCTGCTGAATTAGGTCAGCATTGGAAGATCAGATATAAGATATTTAGAGTGTACTTCAACACTTATGGCAACCATTAAAGTTGAAGTAGTTTGGCAGGAGAATATTGTAAAACAGCAGAGAGATAAAAAAAAATATACAAAAGTTCTTGATCCATTCAGCAAACATCTTAATCTAATGGAAAAACAATAGAGTAAATACCTCAAGCTCCATTAGTGGAGGTGGCATAACACCTGTGATTGCTGCATCAGCACAAGCTCCATATTTAGTAACGCTCCACAGCTGGTAAGGAACTCTCTCAAAAGAATTCTCAAAATCATCCAAGTCCCTTTTCTTCCTCTTTTGATCCCAAAAGTTTGTTTGTGTTTCTCGAAACCATCGCCGCAGCATATCCTGCATCACAAAATGAGGGTAAGATCAACTGAAAGTCATATAAGATCTATGAAAATTGTACCAAAAAGAGAGAGAGAGAGAGAGAGAGAGAGAGAGAGAGAGAGAGAGAGAGAGGGGATAAATTGGATATCATAAAAGTAAAAATCTTTAGAATCAGAACAGGATAATTGTAAAAAATAAGATATATTGGAGTTTTAAATAGTTTACTAGATATATCATGATATCCAACATAACTTGCACCAAATATCTCCTTTTCAACATCTAGAAGGGAAATTGACAAGCTTCTGGTTAGAATAGCAAATTAGTGTATACCAACGGAGTGACATAAATAGACAACTCTTTCAATGGAAAAATGAAGAGAAGTCAAGGGGAAACAGCAAACAAAGGAGGCAATAACAGTTCTTCAGAAATCTCCAGTACAGAACTTGGACAATAGAAAGCCTACTATAACTTCGGTATTATTACTGACAGACAAATCACCTGTAAATCAGATCCATCAAAACGTGCAATCACTCCATCCATAACGATGCAAACCTCCTCATTTGATATATCTTGTGAAATATCTCTTTTTGTTCCACGAACTCGAAGCTTCAAAATCCGTGTAGGATATATTATCTGCAAAGATATTTGAGCAGATTACGTCTAAGTGGAACAAAAATAAGTTCTTAAAATCAATCATAAACCTTCACACTCAAGGCAGGCTGGCAGGCACTGGGTCAACATATGAGTAAAGAGGAAATAACTTGTGAATAATTTCATGATTTCAGATTTAAGCCAATGCAATGAGATAAAACCTTGCTTTCCATTTGAGCAAGCATTTTTAGACAGCCTGCAAGATTACTAAAGATAGCTACAAACAGAGCAGGATAAACATTTCAATTACATCCTCGGGTTTTTTTTAGTTGCATCACTTTGTTTTCATTGACTCCTAGGCAATTTTTGGAGTACAGGGAGGTAGAGAGAAAAAAAAATGGGGCCCATATGGTAGGAGAGAGATAGAGAGAATTTATTAGTTAAAAAGCTAAGGAAAGTGATGCAACTAATTTAAAACTTCCTCTTTAGGAAAGTGATGCAACTAAAAAAATGCGGATGAAGTAAAGAGGTTGCCCAAAGTCCCAAGCCATGAGATACTACCTAAAGTACAATTCTTAGTGAAAACAAGGGTAAATATGAATTTGTATCAAAGACCCAAGCATGCCCATAAATGCCCTTCAAGGGCTTCAATCAGCTCAAGCATCATAATCAAATTTTCTAACTTGTGCATGATCTGAAAGAAGTATACACAATTTCAAAGCAATAGCTCAGGGTTGTGCCAATTCTCCCACATAGATCTCTAAAATAGCTTATTAAGGGTTCTCATGAACAAATTAATAATACTTCGTATATACTTACTACTTGTTGAAGGGCATTAAGAAACTAAGAAACTACAAAAAAAACATCAAGCTCAACAGACTAGGTGGGTGATCATTGCATGAGCGAGAACAAATTAATAATATTTCGTCTACACGGGACTGTCGAACAGCCCACTCTAAACCTTTTCAAGTTCCATTCTAGTTCAATCAAACCACTTGCACCCCTCCCCTACAAGTGACCATCTAACTAATACTCCAACAGCAAAAAAAATAGAATCTGATTCCAGGAAAGATGGTTCAATCCACCACAGCCACCGCCTAACGATTTAGGTAAGGCCCTAAGACGGAGCAACTAATCCTACCAACCTACACCCAACAAAAATTTCTTAGCTTTTTCATAATTTTCCCACTTTTACTTTAAACTCGAGCTTACTGCATCACTTATTCACTACTACTGCAGATTTCATATTAATTCTAATTCCTAAGGCCTACATTTATTCAAGCCAACCATCATGCATAGAACAATCAAGCCTTAGCTCAGATCAACCAACTCGTTAAGTGGCAACAAGCCTACATTGGCCATAAAATCTGCAATTACAAAAATTCAATATAGAATTTCCTATCTATCATCCAAAAAACATAATATTCACAAAATAATTAATAGCATTGACACAATGTATCCCCAAATCAAGGACACAAATACAGCTCTACAACCCGTGATCGAATCTCGTCTACATCACTAGTTCACTACCCCTCTTAGCTCCCTACACACCCGAAAACATCCCCAACTCCCCCACCCCAACAAATTAAAATCCAATTACCAAAATCAAATATGAAAATTTAGTTAAGAAGATAAAAAAATTCACCTGTTTATGGATCAAACCACCATCCAAAGAATAAATCAACAAATACCCAGAAGAAATCCCAACAGCAAGAACACGAATATCATCAAAAACAAGCCATTCAATGGCAGTAATATACTCCCCACCAATTGGGGAAAGCTCAGGGTGGATATTAACCTTGATATTATCAAACGGGTCATCGGACCACCCGAATATAAGTATCAAAGACTTGTTTGAAAGAGCAAGAGAATGAGTGTCGAGTGCAGATAGAATAAAGGGGTTGTCGACTAGCCATGATTCTTTGCCTGCGCCCAATTCACTGAGTTCATCGCAGGCTATGCACCCTAATGGGGTTGTGTGGTTTCGTTTCGCCATGTGAGGGAGTCGATCATGGAGGAGAGAGAAAATGGAGATTGAATGAGAATGGAAAAATGGATTGATGCCCAAATTCAGGAACAAGGAAGAGATGATACTAGGAAAGTAGGAAGACCAAATTGTTAAGGAATCGAATGAGATTGTGAAAGGGAAGAGAGAAGATGAAGATTTGAATAACCAAAGAAGATGGAGCGTGCACTATGTTTTTTTTTTTTTTTTTTTTTTTTTTTTTTTTTTTTTTTTTTTGTAGAGAGCCAAAATAACGGGATGAGAATCGATGGGATATCTTAGAGCACTCACAATGGTGGAATGACTCGCTATTTTCTCTTCCCTACTTTTCTCCCTCCACATCATATTCCATTATCTTGAGTCACTCTCTTAATTCATTCCCTTATTTTTCCTACAATGGTGAGTAACCACACTACTCTCTCTCATACTTTTATCAACACCCCACCAAAATTTATTAGTACTGTTTTAGTTCACAATATGGCAAAAAAATTTGAAAAGATGAGCTGAGCTTCACGTGGGCCGAGGCGTCAGGTGACCTGCCAGAGAGAGCATCCCCAACCTATGGGTTACCCATGAGTCACCTCCTACAATGGTGAGGTAGCTCAAATGGAGGAGAGAGAGAGTTGTGGGAAGGGTGCTCCCCACCATTGTGGGTGCTCTTAGAATCGAGAGGAAAGTTTAACCAGTTGAGTTATCCCTCACTCTCTTAGAGCGTACACTATATTAGTATGAGTTGTATAATCAGTACTTATGAAAGAGCATCGGGTCAGAAAGTCAATTTAAGCAAAACTGAAGTCGCTTTTAGCAAAGGTGTGTCAATAGAACAACGAAACTTGATTGTGGCAACACTTGGGGTTCGAGAGGTGGTACGGCATGAAAAATATTTGGGGCTTCCGACCATAATTAGGAGATCAAAGAAAGCTGTTTTTGCTTGCTTGAAGGAGAGAATTCGGAAAAAATTGCAGGGATGGAAGGAAAAATTGTTATCTCGCCCGGGAAAGGAGGTAATGATTAAAGCCGTTGATCAAGCTATTCCCACATACATGATGAGCATTTTCAAAATTCTGGATGGTCTTATTGATGAAATTCACTCTATTTTGGCTCGATTTTGGTGGGGTTCAAATGGGGTGGAGAGAAAATTGCATTGGCATAGTTGGGAGAAATTATGTCTTCCAAAGTCGATGGGGGGTTTGGGTTTCCACGATTTGAGCTGCTTTAACCAAACATTGCTTGCTAAGCAACGTTGAAGACTCACGCAAGAAGGGAATTCCTTACTACATTACACGTTGAAGGCTCACTATTATAAAAATTCTGATTTCATAGAGGCTTTATGGGGATATGATCCGAGCTATAGTTGGAGAAGTATGTGGGGGGCGAAGTCTCTTCTTCTTGATGGTTTGAAATGGAGGGTGGGAAATGGTGCTTCAATTCGAGTATGGGAGGATTCATGGATGAGGGGTGATGTGCAGCATTATGTACCAACCCCTCCCCCAAACCATAACCCGGACCTTTGTGTGAGTAGTTTGATCGACTTTAATAGTGGTTGTTGGGATGTTGGGAAGTTGGATGTCCACTTTAATGCTATTGATAAGGCTTCCATATTAGACATTCCATTGTCTAAAAGATGGCCGAGAGATAAAAGGTATTGGTGGCCAACCAAAGATGGCGTATATTCTGTTAAATCGGGATATTGGCTTGGTAGGCTTGGACATTTGCGGACTTGGGAACTCTTTCATGGTAGTGGTAACACAGAGCTCTGGAGTCATGTTTGGAGTGTGAAAGGGCTCCCTAAGTTGTGCCATTTTATATGGAGAGCATGTATGGGAAGCTTGGGTGTACTTGATGTCCTTCATAAGCGTCACATTAGAGCTACAAGTTGCTGCACAATTTGTAACAGGGGGGATGAAACCATCATTCATGCCTTATTTTTCTGCTCGGCTGCTGCAAAAATCTGGGAGAAGAGTGACTTCCTGGTAATGTTGAATGATGCCCCAATGAACTCATTCTCTGATTTGTTTTCATGGGTCTGTGACAAACTAGATGGTGCTACTCTGAGCTGTTTTTGTGTATTAGCTTGGGCAGCTTGGTTTTGTCACAATAAAACTATTTTTTATGAGAATGGGGTGACTGATCCTGTTAGTGTAATGATTGGTTTTGTAAAATTATGTGCTGATTATGTGACTTATAACTCGAAGGTTAGCAAACGGGTTCCTACCCATTGCATTGCTGTGACTGACTAATGCACGGTGGATACCCCCTGCTGCTCCTGCTGTGAAAATAAATGTCGATGCACATATATTGGAAGGGGTGAGTGCTAGCTTTAGGGTGGTCATTCGGGACGCGGCTGGGAGTTTGTTGGTGGCTACTGTGAAGAGGGTGATGGCGAGATGGAGTCCAGAGATGGCAGAAGCTGGAGCTGCGGTTTATGGTGTTTAGATTGCGAGAAGATTTGGTTTCGAAAATGTGGTGCTAGAGAGTGATGCTTTAAGGGTGATCTCTGCAATTCGTGGAAAGCAACAGGGTGCTGCCCCTATTTTCTTGTTCTATGAGGATGTGTTTCTTATCAGTTCTTTATTTAATTCCTTTTCTTGTTGCCATGTTAAGCGTAGCGGGAATGTGCTTGCTCATAGTGTAGCCCGGTGGGATACTTATAACTCATCGGAGCGTATTTGTATGTCTTCTTTTCCCCAAAGTCTGATAACTTTGGCGGAAATTGATTTATTATAATAAAATCCCGCTTGCTTGTCCTCAAAAAAAAAAAGTTGTATTAGTATAACACATTAACACATGTTTCAACCAGTGGCGGATCTTAAATTTTTTTGGGGGGGCCGATAAAACTAAACATGTTACATATGAATACAAAGTATAGAATTTGAGTAATAAAAACAAATAATTTTAACATTATCAAATCTATTAAAAAATCGTTATAATTATCAAATTAAAAAGTAGTTAAAAGAAACAATACATTAATAATAATAATTAAAAAAAAAAAACACAATATGCACACATAAATAAAGCCTTAAAGTTACGAGAGGTTGTTATATACACCCGGGTGTATCGTATACCCATGAGTATTTTTTTCTCATCTTGATGATTATTTTTCACTTTTTCATCAAATGAAAAGTAAAAATTAACCTAAGGTTAGTAGAGTGTATGGAACTCCTGAGTGAATGTAATAAATTTACCTTTGGTCTTTGAAGGCTTAATTCTACCTAACTTTACATGGTATCAGGCCACAAATTTTCTTTCAACTAATTATTAGCCATGGCTGGCGGTGATGAAACACCACCACCACCACCACCTACAAAATTTGAACCCAATTCACCATATTACCTCAGTTCGCAAGGTCGACCGGGGGATTTCATCACTCCTACTCGCCTTACAACAAACAATTATGAATCTTGGGTTGCCGACATTCAGGCGGCATTAGAAGCTTAAAGAAAGTTTGAATTTTTAGATGGCTCGATCAATGCACCATCACCCCCTTGTACGAAGTCCGATTGAACGACTATCAACGCAATGCTAATCTCATGGATCACCAATACAATAGACCCCAAATTAAAATCAACTCTGTCCAAATTCATGGAAGCTAAGCCTTTTTGGGATCACCTTAAGCAACGATTTGCTCAAACTAACGGTCCACGCATTCAAAAATTGCGCTCCTCCATAGCAAAGTGTGAGCAAACGAAGTTAATGCCTGTCTCTGTGTATTACGACAAGCTTCATTCTTTGTGGCAGGAATTGGATCGTCACAAGCCGTTAATTTCCTTCTTTTGTTGTGCTTCTTGTTCGGCTTGAAAATTGCACTTAAGGTTTTCAAAGCATATCTTAGTGATTGTTTTAAAATGAAAGATCTTGGTTCCTGGCCCTAAAATATTTTTTGGGCATTGAGGTGGCTCGTAGTTCGTCCGTATTATTTTTGTGTCAGAGACTCTGGATATTATCTCTGAAACAGGTTTATTGGGTGTAAAGCCTAGTGGGTTTTTCATGGAACAAAATCACAGACTCGCCCAATCGCCCATGCTAGTGGCGAATTTCTGCATAATCCGAAAGCTTATCGTCGTCTAGTGGGACGGCTCATATATCTCGTGGTCACTCGATCGGATCTAGCCTACTCAGTTCACATTTTGTCACAGTTCATGCAAGCACCATGCATAAAACATTGGGAGGCGGCCTTAAGGGTTGTTCGATATCTCAAAGGATCTCTCGGCCAAGGCATATTACTGGGTTCGGATAGTGAGCTCACTTTAGAGGGATGGTGTGACTCAGATTGGGCAGCGTGTCCGTTAACTTGACGCTCGTCGACAGGTTGGCTAGTGTTTCTAGGTGGAGTACAAGTCTATGAATGGAGTCACTTGAGAATTGAAGTGGCTCAAGGGCTTATTATTGAGTTTGGATGTGCAACATCCTAAAGCTATTAAATTGTTCTGTGATAGTGAGTCAACATTGCATATTGAGAGGAACCCTGTGTTTCATGAGCATACGTGTAGGGGTCGCTCGAAGTGCGCCTACGTTAAAAGCATGTGGTGAATATGCTTGGCACTCATAGGAAGTGGGAATTGACATAATACGATTAGGGACAAGGAAAGTAGGGAGCCGTCAACAAATTTTTAAGGAACTTGTAAACCGTTCACGGATCATAAAAGGCAACCACGATAAAGGGACAACGATAGGCAACAACGATTTACCCGTGAAGGTTACACCCCATTCATAATCCATGAGATTACTAACTCCATATGGTTCGAAATCACGAAAGGAGGATCGAGGATGATGGTACAAAGTGAGTCATGGAGCCACATTCGCCCTTATTGGCCTCTACTCGATTCTTATACTGAAAAGTGATTCCTGCGATCTCAAAGGCATGTAAACAGATATTCAATTCGCTTCAAACTATTATTAGGCTAAATTGGTTAAATATTAATGCAACACATAATTCTAAAATATTTGTGATCACTTGAATCAAATAACAAGATTAAAAAGGAACCTAAACCGGTTGTCCAAATTATCTTATTAGGCGTAATTTTCAATTACATATTCCCTTTAAACATGCAATATAGCAATCATAATAACAATAGAATAAACATTAATATTGGAAGAAATTTAACAATAATAGTGTTAGTCAAATCAAATATAAAATAACCCTAATTATGATTCTAGCAATATTAAAATAAAGAGTAATTAAATTAATTAATTACTCACATTCCGCAAGTTCCTTTAAATTGCTACATCATGAATAAACTGTTAGTAACTTCAATAAAAAATATAAATCAAATGAAAATTAAATTAAATAAATTTAGATTTGATTTGATCCAAACCCTCAGTTAATTATACCTTTCACGCCTTGGTTTAAGGACGGAATCTCGGGTTAAGTATGAACTCCTTGGAGTGCTTAAGGGAAGTATTTTGAGAGAATAGGATGGCTAGTATTTAGGCTAAAGAGGGAGAGAGAATTATTTGATGATCAAGCTTGTTGATCCTTGAAAAAGGGGAGATATGACCTCTATTTATAGATAAAAAGAAGGGTCG